GCTTACCTGGATCCCAATTTATCATAAACCTGGTGTTCTCGGCCTCAGAGTGGGCGCCAGTGGGGGGCAGAGCTAGCCTTCCCCCTTTGTCTGCAGACAGCACTGTCCCAACCCTGGTCTTGCGCGCTCGCAGACACAGCCATATACTCGAGCACTCGGAATTCCCGGTAGAACAGAACCAGGCTGAGGTTCAACTACCAATAAACGCAGGAGGAACGAGTTCGCAGTCCCCGAGCTGGCTTCGCCTGCGCTGCGCGCCCATCGGTCCACCCGCCCGCCCGCCCGCCCGCCCGCCGGTCCGCTCCCGGGCCCAGAGAGGCAGCCACCCGCGCCCCCTCCCAACTCCTGGGTTTCTGCCCAGCCCTCCCAGGCCCCCCAGAGCTTGGGATTTGTTTTGCTTGCGGAACGTGGTCGTTTCTGGATTTGGAGAGAGCCCCGGAAACCCCCTCGGAGTCGGGAAATACAGACGCTGCCTTCAAATGCAAGCATATTTGTTCACGTGACCCCAAGGGAAGATTGTACTGATTGAGGCTGAAACTTTCACGCCACCCAGCCCCGGAGCGCAGCCAGGCCTAGGGGCTGGAAGGAAGGGCGCAGGAGGCTTGGGACCTGGGCCGCATTCCTAGGGCAGACGCAGATGGGTGTGGGGCGGAAGGAAAGAACTCATTCTCGCAGCTCGGGGTGACTCAGTCCTGGCCTGGCCGCCCTCAGTGGGTTGGGGGCGTTGAGAGTCTCTCCCCACAACGACCTCTGACCCTGGCTGGGCCTTCTGCCAGACTGGCCCGGGAGTTGGAAATTTTAGAAGCTTCCTCTCTTAGAAGCATCTCTGCAGACGGCCGTGGAGCAGCAGAAGCTGAGGGTGCCCCTACCTTCCCGGGCCCGCGGAGTACTCCGCAGCCGCATGCACCCTGGCAAGGCGGCCTCCCCGCAGCCGAGGTCGACGCCGAAGCCCTGCTCTCCTCCTCCCAGGGCGAGGACCCGCTCCGGCCCTAAGGTGGAAACCGCGGCTCTCAGCACTGGCCAGTCACCTCAGAAAACTCTGCCACCACCACCACTCCGTGGCTCGTTCTGCGGACTCAGCAGCCGAGGCACCGCCACTTCTGAGACAGAAAAGGCGCGTAGCAGGCGGCCCGGACCCAAAGCGACCTCCCCTCTCTGATCCCTGAGCACCCCAACCTGGTCCTTCGAGGCCTGGAGCCGCCTAGGCTCTGAGCCACTGCCCGCCGTGATCTGTGCGACTCCAGATCTGGGCAGGACCCGCAGATCCCATAGGCCCAGCAATCGCCAAGCCGCGACTTCCCGCTTCCTGCGGCGCCTCCAGGAAGGCGAGGAGGACAGCGGAATGAGTCCTGGCTGGGCTAACCTGGGGGACAATGAAACTTATATTTTAGAAATATTAAATCAAGACAGATTCCCACCACTCTCCGAGTGGCTGATGGGAACAGTTGTGAATGTGGGAAAAAGAATTAAGCGTGCCAGAGCCAGCAGCGGACCTCCTGGCCTGTAATGAGCGCCCAAGACCCTCCCCCAGCCGGACCCGCACTCGGGAATCCAGCACCACGGGGAACTCTCCACCCTATCCCTGAAGTCTTGGTTTCGTTGCCAGCTCTGCTCAGCGGCATCAGGCACAGTGAAATGCTCTGTTGCTGATTGCAGGGTCTGAGACCGGTGAAAGCGCAGCCATAGACGAGCCCGGGAGGAGTGGGTAAGGTCCACCGCATCCCCACTCCAGAGGCGCAGGAATGTCCCGGAGGCCCGAGCCCCCAGAACCTTCCACGAGCCCATCCTTTTGTTCACCTGGCCGGGCCTGGCCAGAGGCCCACTCGGGGCGTCTCTCGAAGCCGGATCGTGGGTGACCCCAGCCCACCCCCACCCCGAGGACCCCGCCCCCAGTCTCTTGCCAGAGGCCAAGCCGACGGTCAGCAGCAAGTGTTAATACCCAGTCAAAGAGGGGGGCTACTTTGCGGGAATTTGTCTCCAGGAAAGGATCTAAGCCTTCTTCAATCGGAGCATATGTTCATAGAGCAATAAACCGGAAAGATTTACAGTCCTCGCCCGGCCCCCAACAGTCTCGCACCCTTTCAGGAATTACTTACGATGATTTATCACACCAACCCGGGCAATTGTCACACTGATAAAATAGCCCGGGCCGGTGCCCGCCAAGCCGGGGCCTTGGGAGCCTGTTGGCTGCCGGGCTGCCAGCAGGGCTGGGGAAGCTTTTTGTGGGTTCCTCCCTGGGCCTACAAGGGGATATCTAGGTGGGTTGGAGTGAATGAGGGTGGGAGAGGAGACGATTCTCATTGAGAAAAATGCAAGCATCTCAGAGAAAGCACCCGGAATCTGCGCCTGAGTCACTCGCAAAGCACATAAACATTTGTCATCTTTGAATAATTGAATTAATGTGTTATTGTTTGAATGTATAATTCATAACGGGGGAAACTTTGTTTCTGTCCTGACGGGGAAATATACACACACCAAAAAAGAAATGAAAACACACACACACACACACACACACACACAAAATCCCAAAACAACCACCACGCACAGCCAGCCCCTGCTCGCTGAAATGATTCTGAAAGCCAATGGAGGCATCTCACAGCAACAAGAGGGAAGGAGGCAAATGAAGAGGCGCCCGGGTCGGAGCTGCAAGCTGAAAGAAAAGAATGCCTGCTGCTGCCCCAGCCCAGGTCCCTGGCAAGCTGGGGTGGGGTGGGACGGAGCGGCGTGGCTCTTAGGACACCCAATTTTCTTGCAGTGCCGGTGAAAAAAGGCAGAAACGGGAGCGAACAGAGAAACAGCCTTCTGCAGCCCAACCTGGCCTCTCCCCCATCATCCTTTCCCCAGGCTTCCAGTCGCCCCGGGGTCTCCCAATCGGGCTGCAGGGACTTTTCCTCGCGTTTATTTTAGCTCTTCCAAAATAGAAACAAAAAATACAAACACAAAAACAAAGGGGAAAGAAGAGGAAACTCGCTGGGGTTACAGAGGCAGCAGAGCTTGGGTGGGGAGAGAGGAGCCGGGGAGAAGCAACTCGGAAATCATTATCTGTTGGTTAAAATCTGCCTGGGGTAAAATTTCAACTCGATTTTATAGCCTTCTATTATGACGCAAAGAAAAATTTACGACCCTCGCTTGAAAAGAGGGCCAGGGCCTTTTCTCACCGGTTTAAGAATAGGCGGCAGATGCCGTGACAGCGACCATTGTTCCCGGTAGACACAGGCGACCGGGCAACCTCAGCCCGCGTGCGCCAGGCGCGTCCCCCAGCCGGGCCGGTTTTTTACAACTCCTGTTGTCTTGGAACAGCCCGCTTGCACCTCGCGCCTCACCCCTCGCCCCCTGGCACCCTAGCACCTCGCACACACACCCACTCCCTGTTTCTGTCTCTGTCTCTCCCTCTCTCACACACACAAGCGCGAGCGCGGACGCACGCACACTCACACACACACTCGGCCGCTCTCAGTAATTTTTCATAAGTGCAAAGCTTTGCTGAACCAAAGGTCACCATCCAAGCCACTAACAACTTCTCGCCGGCGCGCAGTTCCAAATCAGGAAGCAAAGGGAACTATTTGTCAGCGGCCGTGACAGCTAAGTTCATTAAGGATTTAAATCTGATGAAATAAAAGTTGCCAAAATATTTACCTGCGGCCGCGCTCCCGCGCCCGCCGGGGGCCGGGGGTGGAGGGCCGGGGGCACCGCGCGGCCCCCCTGGGCGGGTGATATTCTTGGGATCCCTGCACTTTCCAAGTCGGAGAGAGCCCTTTGCGTGGCAGATTAATGACGACTCCTTGTTTCTTAAGAGACGTGCTGAATTAATTATTTCGCCAATCACGTGGTCGGGACTTGTAGAAATCTATTCTTATCATCTTCCTAGCACTTAGAAAATTCTCCGGGTTATGAAAGGCCCTCCCCCGGCTGCCAGCGAGCCCCGGCCGCCCAACCCGGAGCGGGGGGCAGGGAGGGCTCCCCAACATGGCGGGCAGGCGGGCGGGAAGCGCCGTCTGCCGAGGGTCCCGATTTACTGTACTGTATGCTCAGCGGGCTGTGCTATGGACGCACTTCCTCCTCATCCCTGCCTGCGATTCAATGCACACAGCGGTATTGATGTATTGGTGGGCACGGGAGGAGCCATTAACCAGAAGACGGGCAGAGGACAATCATAAAATGTGTCTGAATATTTAAAACTTCTGCCTGTGCACTTATAAATACACATGTCCACGCGTCTGGGGCGAGCCCTTCCATGTATTAAGGACACATGTCTGATTTTATGCATTCTGCTCATTTCCTGTCTGGAACAAGCACCCCATCTATTTTGGGACTCCTGTCTTGGCCCCTTCTTCAAGGCGAGGCCAAGATGTGAAGAAGCCCTTGCGGTAAATGTAGTGCAGGGCAGTTTTTATAGTGGGGAGTGTTTATTGTTGCCCGAGGGATGGAGGGGGCGCGGGAGAAGGAGGGGCAGGTGCAGGAGCTGAGCGGCACCGGAAAAGTAGAAGCCCAAGAGTGGAGGCCGGGGGTCAGGTCAGAGCAGGCACCCAGGAGCCTCAGGTCGGCCCAGAACCCAGCGCACTCTCCCTGCATTGGGGATGGAGGACCAGTAAGGTGTCTCATCCACCACTTCACAAAGACTTCCTCTAAGGGCTTCCAGACCAAAAGAGGCTGGGGGCTGGCCCGGGCCCAGCAGAATGCCAATCTGGATCCCCTTATTAACCTGGGCAGTTCTTTTTCTTCAAAAAATTAACACCCAACACTCTGCACCCTGAATTCAACCCCAGACTTCCCAATGCTCACAAAATATGGGGGCCAATTGGGAGTATGTGTATATGAGGGAGGGGGTAATAACAGAATTGCTAAGCCTTACATGGTTTAACCTTCACACTTTAGGCACCCCTCAAAAAATGGTGCCTAATTTATTGCAGAAAATAATAAATTGTTTATGTTAAGTGTTAGCTTTTAGAAGACTTAACAAAGAATGAATGCTTCTGTTAAGGCACCAAACAGGAGGGAGATTTTGCTACACTTTTTATTATTTTAAATATAGATCAATGAATTACATCAAAACTACAAGCAACAATTAGTATAAATAATACTTTAATCAGTGGCAGCAAAACATTGGTCAATTCTATTAAAAAAGCATCTCGTGTGAACAGACATCATAGGCTGACTGACAATGTCATCTCCCAACAAAAGGCTGCGATGGACAAAGTGAGATGGGAGTCAGAGGAGCAACGTCCTCAGCAAACACTTCACTCTCCCCCTCCCCCAGTCAGGACCCCAACACGGTTTTTGTTTTTGTTTTTAAAACACCAACACAAACACTTCTGGCTCATATTTAAAGGAACAAACTGGAAACAAATAATAGCAAATGGGCACTGGAGGCTTTCCACACCTAATTTTCTCCAAAGCACGTTCTCAGATGGAAACCTATTTCCTTCCCTGCCCTAAGTGGTTGCCGGGTCCTACCCCTTCCCTGGCCCACTCCTGTGGGCCCAAATGGATGCTGGGGTCCGGCTGGGACCTCAGGGTTGGGGGCTGCACTCTGGGCCATCCAGGCTCCATTAACATTTCAAAAGAATCCCTTGAAGCTGAGAAGGAGAGCTGAGACTTATAAACAAAGAAGTTGTTTCTCTGATTAAGTTACTTTCCAAAGTAGTGGGGCTATGTTTGAGAAGGAGCTTGGGTTTTCCTTATGAAAACATGTTTCTTGGCTTTCCTCTGGGGCAGAGATGAAGTCAGTTAAACCATTGTGGCATTTGGTATGAAGCTGGGGGTGAGCAACCTGAACTTCTGAGGTGGGGGAAAATCTATATAACAAATCTCTATTTTATATATGTAGTTGGATGTTGTGAAAATATATACCTTTTTCCGCTTCCCAAGGAGAAGGTTCAATGTATACACAGATTTGAGTTTTAGGAAAGCAGCTTAGCAACTTTCCAATTTGCCTAAGGATAGCGGCTCCTTTCAAATGGTACATCCAAAGACTGCTCTCCATGTTAGAGAGGAAAAAAGAAGAGAAGGGTAGTTAGAGTCCAAAAGGTTAAGGGTTTAGAGGTCAGTCCTCCCGGCTGAAATACAGCTAATCGAATAGAAAATTTGTCCTCTGGATGAACCTGATTCTGTAATTTACCCGAACTTCAGTAAAATACCTTTTCAGCTTCTCAACGTGAGGGCGTCAGAAAAAAAGATGTCTTGACTATGTATGAACTCTGTGCTTTTTGTCATAGAAACAATGATGTGAATAATGCGGGAATATCCATCTTTAATATCCCGACGTGGTGATATTCAAGTATTGCCATGTGCAAGTCTGAGAGCCAGGCTCACCCCAAGGAGGAACAAAGAGCAGTCCCCAGGGTCTAATACAAAAGACCAAGGCTTGGAAGACACTTTAGAGAAGCAGAATTTCAGCCTAGAGACTGCAGCGAATACCTGCCCTCAGCTCTCAGGAGACACAGCCAAAGAACACGCCTACAGAGAAACTCTTTTTTCCCTCCCACTTACATATATTTTTAAAATTACCACAGAAACCCTCTAAAGTGTTTTTGAAGTACTGAAAAAAATACCCCTTTCTGGATTTTAAAATTAAGTTTTAAGCTTATCCTTTCTCCCTTTCCCACCTTGGTCACTTTTTGATAGCTACAACATTTTTTGGAGCCTCAGGCCTTGGGAAGACTGGTTTCATCTCAGTATATGAACTCTGGTCATTAGCATTTTAGAAAAATGAACTAAAGGACATCTCCCCTGTTGAGAGTGATTCCTTAAAAAACCACTAGTCTCAAGGCAAAGATGAGTGCTTGAAAACTTTTATACTTTTACAAATTCTGCTTCTAATTAATGAGCTGAGGAAAACTTCCTTAGATTTTGTTTTTTAAAAAATTAAAACTTCAGGGGGAAAAAACCTCTAAGGCTAACTTTTGTGGACTTCTAGATTCAATTAGGGTTTTGTTTTTGTTTTTCCTTCTTAAAGCAAGAGTTCCTCACCTTCCCACTTTATCCCCACCGCACAGCCCCTCCCCTACACAGGCCATACACTAATTCCTGTAAAACATTGCTATATGCGGGTATTTAGGGCATTTGGAATCCAGTTGGAACAGAAAATTCAGTCATTATCTAACCACCCAGTGCATAGAGGTTTTGTTTTCTTTCCCCAGAAGGAAAATGTTGGACCATTTGTTGCTTTTTTTCCCTTTCCTTTAATCACCCAGAACTGGTTGTAAGCACAGTGCTGAAAAAAACATGTGGAAATATATTTTCAAGAACACAACTTTGAGTGAATCCTTTGCTTCCTTCTGGAAGGGTTAAGGGGCCCCCCCACCCCCCCCCACACACACACATTTCCAGAGAGTGGGGAGGGGTGGAGTTCAGAAGTAAGTGCACATATCTCTGATTCTGCTCCCTGAAGTTCAGCCCCTTTCACCTTTTTAAGATTTTTGGCATGAAGGTGTCAGTTATTTCTGTACCACATTTCCCAACAAATAAATATTTAAGCAAATATCTAAACATAAAATAACCCGTTTTTACTTCCTTCTTAGACCCTTTTCTTTGGACATGGGGCCACTGGGAGCAAAATATATATATTTTTAATCACACGAAATTCCATAGACAACCCAGAAAGTTCAGAAATCCTGACCCAGCTCTCTGGCTTATACTGAAAGCACCTAGCACAGGGATGGCCAACCTTCTGCCTCAACTCCCCCACATTATTAGGCCACAAAGCTCCCTGGAGGGGTGGAGTGGGGGAGAATGTCCAAATTCACACTGGGATACAGCATCCATCCTTCATTTGCAAATTCAAAATCCAAGAGCGGTGATTTTCATGAGTTTAATGACTCGCCAATATTTTATGTTCTCAGTAGCTCCTGCCATATAATATACTTAGAGACAGAATCCCGCCCCCCCTCCAATCCGGCTCTAGGGAGGGGGCTGCCCTCAGGAAGTATGCTAACCTAGTCCGAGGACTGCCTGCTTGTCCCAGGTCCACCCCACAGTACCTTAGAGCCCAGCGAGGTGACAGCAGGCCCGGCCTGCCCCCGCAGCTTCGGCTCAGCCTGGTGCGCAGGGAGAGATGGGCACAGGGTCCCCACTTCTATAAGGTCGTCAGGTCCGTGTGGTGGTCTTTGGCCATCGGCTGTAAATGTTGGCCGGGGGTGACTGAGGAGGAGCAAGATGAGGAGGAAGATGAGGACGATGACCTGCCTTTGGTGTTGGGCAGCTTATGATCTTTTTTCCACTTCATCCTCCGGTTCTGGAACCAGATCTTGATCTGGCGCTCCGACAGACACAGGGTATGAGCGATTTCAATCCGACGGCGCCTTGTCAGATACCTGTTAAAATGAAATTCTTTTTCCAGTTCTAGGACTTGCTGTCGGGTGTAGGCCGTCCGGGACCGCTTGGGTTCCCCACCGGTGTAGTTGGGGTTCACTGCGAGACAAAACAGACAGGACAGGCAGGTCAGAGCCTGGCCACTAGTTAGGCCCCTCGCCTCCGCCGCTCACTTCCTGGCGCGCCCCGAGGCCCGCGGCCCTCCCCGCGCTCCCAAGCTCGCTTGCTTCCTCCCTCCCGCCCTCTCCCCGGCGCACACGCTCACTCCCACCCACCTCCTCAAACACACCCACATACCCCAGGCTTGCGGGATCCCCAGATGTGCTCCTTCTTCCGGGCCCACCACCAGGTCCGGAACCCTCAAGCATTTTGGAAATCCCCCGCTCCTCCACAGCCTTCCCCCTGCTGTGAAAATGGAGTCCTCCCCCACCCCACCCCCATCCCCACCCCCTTTTGCGCCCACAGCCGAGCAGCCAGCCACATGGTCCTGACCTGCTCCCTCAGCTATAAAAATTTATGGGGAGAGTAATTGTGGCGCCCACGGAAGCTACACACGCCCCCACCTACACGCAACCCCTTCCAGGCGACCCAGGCCAACGGGCTGGGATGTAGATAGAGAGGTTCCTGGATCCGAGCCTTACCCGAATTCACGTGCACCTTCTTCATCCAGGGGTAGACCACAGCCGGCTGCTTGAGTGCTGTCCCGGGGGGCGGCTGCTTGGGGTCGGACTGACTGCAGGCCCGGGCACCAGGCAGGGGCGCCGGCGGAGGCGCCGGGGGCGCTGGGCAAGGCTCTCCCGGGGCGGCGTAGTGACCGCCGGGGCCGTTTGGCTCTTGTCCGTGACTCCGCGCAGGCAGCGCCGAGCCAGGCCCGGGGCCGCCGCCTCCGAAAGGCTGCTCACTGAAGTCGGGCCGTGGGTAGAGCCCCGGGGGCTGGAAGTCTGCGCCCTGTGCACCGCCGCCGTAGTAGTCGGCGCCCTGGTCGCCTAGGTAGCCGCCCTGCAAATACTCCTCGCACGGAGGGAACTTGGGGTCCACATACTTGGAGTTCACCATATACGAACTCATGACCATTAATTTCAGAAGGTAGAAAATACTAATTTTTCTCGTGTTGTCTTTTTTTCTCCTTCCATAGGGCCCTCCTACTTGCTGTCAACTGAATAAAGTTGGGCAGCCATGTGACCAGGCCAGCCAATGGCGAGGGAGCAAGTTTATCACCGGGTTGGTGAGCATCTCATAATTTTCACAAATTTAACTAAATAACATACGTATAATCAAGTAGCTAGCTGTAGCACATTTGAGAGCCCTGCCAGATATTAATGTAGTTCCAGTCCCCAGCACCCCATTCCCCTCAGGTAATCCCAGTTTTGTCTGCCACTGATTTTGCCAACCTTCCGTACCCCTTCCACTCACCCCCAGCTGAATGCAACCCCCCCACCACCCACACCAAGTAGGCACAGCTCAAGGAAGAATGAATCCTCCTATTGGGGTACAGAGCAATAAAAGGTGGGTGGGCAAAGTCGCCTTTGAGTTGGGCAGAGTGCCCCAGGCAGGGAGGGTTCCTGCCTGCCTGCCCTGCCTGCAGCCGGCGGGAGCCGGGACTCTGCCATACAAAGGCCGCCGTCCTGGCTTTGTTTTCATCAGGGTCACCCAAAAGTTACCAGAATCTGGCCAGCTTGAATCAAATTAGGCAATGAGTAACCGCCATCCTTTCTACCAGTGCCCAGGCCCAGGGGTTCCCAGCCAAAGCTGGGCCCTGCCAAAATAGCAGGGGGCCCTCGCTGCCCTTGCCCATGTAGCTGGGGGTGGGCTGGGATGGTGGCAAGGGCACCCCCACCTTGTCAAATTGCACCCTAGAGCTCCCCACTGGGCTTCTTCGAAGCTTGCTTTCTTCCCACAGGAGGGCCCCAAATACAAGCAAGCCCCTATTTGGGTACCTTTGCACCTCATGTTCCTGGAGGGCAGAGCTGGGACTGGGCAAGCTGGCCTTGCACCTCACTCCCTAGTACCCCAAAACCTAGCCCTTTGGCCCTGCATCCATGCAACCAATTAGGCTTGCTTTTCTCTTTTCTTTTCTTTTGTTTTCTTTTCTTTTCTTTCTCTTTCTCTTTCAGTCTTTTCAGCACCCAGAGGATCCTCTGTTTAAAGGTGAGGAGCTTCCGGAGAGGAAAAGGCTGCTCTATGTCACTAGGCGCAGCTGATCCTCCTGGAGTCCAAGGTAATAAAACAGAGGAGGCTGACCAGCGCCGGCTGCTTCTAGTCTCCACTTCGCACTTCGGTCTCTGGCTATTCCGAAGAAACATGAAGTTTTTGCATCGACCATATATTCCCCTAGAATCGAATCTGTGACTATATGGATACCACACAAATTCGGTTCTACAGGGTATATATAGACAACGTTACAACCTCTGGTCCCACCCAGAGTGAGGTACCTAGGCTGCTGCCGGCCCTAGCCTCTGCCTCTGAGCCACCACCGTTGGACGCAGCCACTCGCACTTTCTGAAACAGTTCAGGTAGCCTGATGGGCTTGGCGACAATTTGAAGCAATGAGTTTCCTCATTCTTCGGCCAGGGTCAGGGTTACCAAGAACGGGATCAACCAGAATATTCTTCTTAAGAAAGAAAAAAAGAAAGAAAGAAAGAAAAATAATCCATCCCAAGGATAGCAGCTTTATTAACCCCCTCCCCCAGGATCCAAATACCGCCCCCCTCCTTATCAAGTGGTATTTTCCAGAAAAGAACAAATGTCCTGGGCGGCAGAAGAAAAAGAAGCGAGAGGGGAATGTCCTCTGTCCACTCCTTTTCCTACTGCCTGACCAAGCCAGGTTGTCTGCCAAAGCTACTTCTCCAAGAAGTCGCACATTTACCTTCATGGGTCCTGATCCGGGCTGGCCTCTCCGTTCCGCTGCTGGCTGCTGCTGCAGACCCCGAGGCAGGCGCTGCTCACAGGCACCGAGCCGCCTTGGGCTGAGGCCGGCGCGCTAATGGTGAAGGGCAGGGCGAGGGGTCATTCGAAATCATTTACAAACATACCACAAACTTTCATTATTTTTGCTTTGCCGACAGCAGCACACAAGAGTACAAAAGTTCACAAATTTCACCCGCCCCAGCGCCTCGGCCCTGTGCAGTGCTTGCTCCTCAGTTCAGGGCATGGAGAGCGCAGACTCACTCAGAGCCTGGATGGATTTCAGGGGAACAGGGATGCCCTGGCTCGAATGGGGCTTTTGGTTGCCTAACTGTAGGCTGAAGGTGTTAGTTTTTTGTTTTTTGTTTTTTACTGTCTTGATTGCCCTTCCTACCTCCAACATAATTCAAAAATTAGTTTCAAGCCTGGGCCTGGGCCTGGTGGGGTGGGGCAGGGATACTTCCCCTTCAACCCTGGCACTACATCCCCCCATCCTTTGCTTCCACCACTTTACCTATTTCGTAGGGATTTTTGGGGTGCCGGTTCTAACAAGGGCTATAAGGCTGCAGAATCTGTTTATCCCGGGAGAGTCCCCCCAGTTTCCCTGAATGCCAAGGACTCCCAAGTATCCACCTTCCTGGGACACTGGGCCTAGGCTCTATCCAGACAAATTGAGGGAGCCTGCTGAGCCGGCTGGGGACTGGGGTGAATGTACACATTTTCATATTTGTTAGACGCTGTGACCTGCATTTCACCTTATTGCTCGACTTGTTCAGACAGGTCAAAGCCAACGAGTTATTGATGAACAAAAGCGTTAAATATTCACCTCCCGCTCAACTGCCCATACTAATGCTTTTGATCTCTCGGGCTTTTTGTGCTGTGTTCAGCTACCGGACGCCGAATGTGGGTTTGCTAGCGAGCAGGTTCTGCAGAGATAAGCACCCAGAGCCAGTGGAGGGGAGGAGAGAAGCAAGACCAGGAGGTCCCCAGGACACCAGATTTTCCAGACTGGAGCCCAGAGCCCCTTTCACTTGAGCCAGCCTGGTGTATAGGGGTAACTGCTCTTCTAGGGTGTGTACAGCCTACGAAGGGTCGACTAGACTGCCCAGTACAGCGGGGCCAAAAAACCTGTCTCTGAGTCCAGCCGTAGCTTTTCCAGCCATGAAGGAGGGAGCCGGGTTCCTGCAGCCCTCGCATATTCCAACTCCCATTAAAATAAAATCACCTCCGTTTTGCAGTGAGGGAGGGGCCACAGTTCTTCCTGTGACTCTCGCTCCAATACCATTGTCTTAATGAGATGGTCCTCCAGGAGGCTTCACAGGCCTAATCAGAAATGTACCTGTCTTTCGCGGCACAGGCAGCTCAGAAAGATCCAAACAGCCAAGCCAAGGACCCCAGGAGTCTCTGGCCCCACCCCTCCGCACCCACCCCACTCCACCGTCCTATGCCTCCTTGCAGCACCAGCGCCTCTGGGGCAGAAATTCTCCAGCTGCAGTTACAGAGAAGCAGAGGTGAAAAGAAGGTCCGTATCCCTCCTTGCTGAGCCAGTGTCCCAAGCCCAGGGCCCACACCGCTGCAAACAGAACGGGGGAGGGGAGGGGAAGGAAAGTCCACGTAAAGCTCAGAAGCGGGTAGCTCAACACACCCATGCCATAGAGGATTGAGTTTTTGTTTCCAGTGAATTTTTTTAAAAACAGAAGGTTGGCCAGGCTAGAACAGGTTAAGAAGGGTTGGGCTGCGGAGGGGATTGCATTGCCTTGGTGTTTACTGCGTTGGTTTGATGCCGCTAATAAGACGGGCTGCTAATTAGCAAGCTCTTAACAGAAGCGAGCGCCTTGGCGGAGCTGCACCTGTGCAGAGCAGGGAAAGGCCGCGAAGGTCCAGGAAGGCTCAAGGAGACAAGGGCGAGACCCCGCGGACCGTTGCCTCAGGCAGGTGTCTGTGAACCAGGCCCCAGAAGAGCTTTCCAGGACCTCGATTTAGCGCCTCCACCTCCCGAAGCGGACTGACCTAGCAGAGCGAGGCCGGGGATGGAGGGTGGGGTGGGGGTGGGGTGGTGGAGGCAGGGCCTTTCTTCCAAATCCGCCCACTCCACTGGCTCGGCCCTTAGCCCACCACTTCCCCGCGATCAGTACCGCCTCTTCGCGATTCGGAAGAAGCGGGAAGGTACTTACAGCGGCGCTCTCTCATGGTCCTGAACCTGTTGCAATGAAAACGGGGATCACTTAACTTCCACAGGATAATAAAGCAGAAACATAACACACAGAAAAATGACAAGGCCCAGATACCCCACCAATACCCAGACCTCCCTGCTTCAGGTGCCCGCCCCCGGGAACTGCGCAAAGTTCTCCGCGGAGCCGAAGACCGCAGTCGCTCAAGAGGAGAGCCGCGTCTCCATCGCCTCCCCCACTCCACGCACCCTTGGGCAAAACCTCACTGGTTACTTGGTCCGAATCAGGTCGCCCGTAACAGGGTTTTCCCAGTGGGAAAACGAGAAGCGAAGAGAAAATGGGCCTTTGTGTGTTTCCTTCCTTGCAATCTGGCTGGGTGGGTGCAGGTACACTGGGGAGGGGTAGCCGCTCCATCTGCCCCTCACCCCAGCTTCCTATCTCTCCCACCCTGGGAGCAATTCAGCCTCCCATTCCAGCTTCAGGTTGGTTTCAAATTCCTCAGCCCCAACCAGTGCCCCCCAAACCTGTCTTCTCCTCCTCAAAGAAGAATCAGGCATGGCTGGGACTTGCCACTTCTATTTCAATTCAAAACAAAGAGCAATTTCCAGGGGGAAAAATGAGGACCCAAATGATAACCAAGGAGGAGGAAAATCAATGAGTTTAAAGGTGAATGGTAATGCTTTAGACTGTTATCCAGCTCTTAGGGTGTGACATCAATTTTTCAGGATTGCTGCTGAGAGCCCAGAAGACAATCTTAACTATGCAGTGGTCCTCCCAGAGGCTGGTGTCCAGTTTTAAGTTTTCAGTCTTTCCTGATATTATTATAGGAAGGCAATATCAGAAATCTCAGGGACAAAGCATCTTCACCCTCATCCTCTCTTTCTTTCCTCACCCAGAATACCACTGTTTTATTCCACTTCTGAAGGAGATGCTCTTATGGGGAGGAGAGGGGCAATAAGTCCTTCTTGTGAGGTGAGAGCCCTCAATTCCTAACTGTCCCTATCCAGAAGGGAGGGCATAGGACATCGAGATGCTTATTCTATTTGTTAATTTAGGTTTAGGCTAAAATTAGAATTAACTTTGGTGAGACTTATCCCCATCCTAGGCAGAAAAGTCAGGAATAGAGAAATCTCCCACCTCTGAAGTTGTTGTGGAAAAAGTAATAAGTGACTTACTGTTTTTCTTTCCTAGTGGGCAGGGGAGCTGGGAGTAGAACTGTCTCCTTCTTAGCCCGGCGCTGGCTGGAGCCTCTCACGTTCCTATTGCTGCTCCAGGAACCCAGCATCTGCACTTGTATGCTCTTAACCTAATTTATGGTGGGAATTATATTTTGGCTTGTCAACTCTCAAGCCATAAAACAAAGTTTATTGGAATCACGTGCTCGTAAATAGCCACTCAGGTCCCATCTCTACAGAACCATAAATAACCTTTGACTTTAAACTTTTATTCACTAAATAAAGGTTTGCTGCAACTGTTTCCTCAGATTTAAATAGTTCCAAATATCCAAGATGCAAGGGAGGTCATATTCATATCAATACCCCAGACTTTTCAAATAGCATCTTTTCAGAGAAACTGTTTAAGTTGGGAGATAGTGCTATTTGGATAAGGCTGGTTGGTGGGCATGTCTTATGATTCTTTGACTGCATTCACTGTGAGTACCATTAACCCCTTTATTTCAATAATTTTCTAGCTCTAGATGTGATAGAGAAAGGTCAAAAGCCACTTCTTATTTGCTTATGACAGAAGCTGGAAGTTATTTGAGATTTTGTTCAAGTTTCAATAGAGAAAGGGTGGTTAGGGAGAGGCTCGGTGGGTTTGGGGGTAGGAGTGGCAGTTGGAATTAACACTTGGCTCCCTCGGTATTGTTGTGGATGGGCTTGGAGAAAGTCAAAGGTAGCCACATGCCTAGAGGTTTCTATAATTTGCTTAGATCTGAAAGGGAAGCCTTTGCAAGTGACCAAACTGCTTAAAACAGCAAGACTTGGGGTTTGGTAAAGTGAGAAAGTGGAGAATAGCCTCATTAGAATCTTTGGCAACTAAAACTCCAAAGAAGTAAAACAATAAAACAATAAAACAGCCCTGGTGTGAAGGAGAAAGGGTGTGAGGAAGCAAATGAGACTCTCAAACCTAGGAAGTCAGATGTCCCCACTCCCATAGTGTCTCCAAGCACAGGGATTAAGGCTCAGGAGCTCTGGGGGCTCAAAACTGGGTGGGAGTTTTAGGAGGCCTACCCCCACACCCACACTGCTGCCCCCACCAGGGAGAGAGCCTAAGAGAGGAAGAGGGAGTAGTACACTGCCGCTGTCCTGCTGAGAAAGCCAAGGAAACAGCTTGGGCCTGAAGCTGCTCTCTAGGAGAATGTGGCATTCTCTGCTTGGGAGAGGCTGGGGTGGGGGTAAGAGAGAGGGAAAGATGCCCTCAGCTCCCACCAAGGAGCATAAATAAAAAGAGAACTGACCCCCTAGCACCCTTCAATAGCCCACCAGAGTTGCCACCAAACAGTGTAAAAACATGTGTGGTTTTGACTATTCTGATGAAAATAATGGATGTTCTGTGGAGATTTGTAGAGCACACACACATATGATTTCTAAATCAAATTCAGTTGCAACTGTTCCCATCAGAAAGGCCCATGAAACCCATAAAAGAGATCCCTTCATACAAAGATCTCTTTGCATCCCAATTTCCACCCATTCTACATGCATTTCCAAACCCATTTCCTGATTTGACTGTCATTAGCTAGAAAGCAGGGGGTTATTAGCCTGGATTGTAAGGCATCCATTTCTCCTTTTTCTGTTTCATTAGCCATGTAGAAAGATATTTTTCTTTTATGGTTGATGGCATCTGTTTTTAAAAATGGATAAACTCTTCAAAACATAGTTTCTGATTCTGGTTAGCACCAGATGAGCAGCTGTAAAATAATAATAATAATAATAGTTTGAGGGGTTGAGAAGAGCTATCTTTATTTTCCTGTAACCCCAGCACTTTGGGAGACTGAGGCAGGCAGATCACAAGGTCAGGAGTTTGAGACCAGCCAGACCAACATTGTGAAACCCCATCTCTACTAAAAATACAAAAATTAGCTGGGCGTGGTGGTGCACCTGAAATCCCAGCTACTCAGGAGGCTGAGGCAGGAGAATCGCTTGAACCCAGGAGGCAGATGTTGCAGTAAGCCAAGATCGCACCACTGCACTCCAGCTTGGGCAACAGAGCTAGATTCTGTCAGGAAGGAAGGAAGGAAGGAAGGAAGGAAGGAAGGAAGGAAGGAAGGAAGGAAGGGAGGAAGGGAGGAAGGGAGGAAGGGAGGGAGGGAGGGAGGGAAACGAAGGAAGGAACGAAGGAGAGAGAGAGAGAAAGAAAGAAAGAAAGAAGAAAAGAAAGAAAGAAAGAAAGAAAGAAAGAAAGAAAGAAAGAAAGAAAGAAAGAAAGAAAGAAGGAAGGAAGGAAGGAAGAGGGGAGGGGAGGGAAGGAGAGGGGAGGGGAGGGGAGGGAAGGAGAGAGGAGACCACAGTACATATTAGTTTCCAGGCAATTGTGATGAGCTTTTTATGAGAATGGTGTAAGCAGAAGACAAGATTGAGGAGAAACAGTGTTTGAAACAGTGATGGGTACCTAGCCAGGGCTAGGTAGACATTCTTTGAACAAATGGTGATGAAGCCTGGTGACTGAAACATGCCTGCAACCTTTACTGTGGCCTACACAAAAAGATAAAATTACATCGCCTACTCTGTATATTTAGACAATAACAGAAAAGTAGCTGTGAGTAAAGAAAAGGAGAGACGAAAGGAATATATTGAGGCAGACATCATTTATGTCTCATGATCTTAGGAAAGCGAGGCAAAGTGATTTAAGAGAAAGTGTCCACCTTCCCATAATCTTCTCTTGTCTTCTCCTCCCCCTCTTCCTTTTCTCCTCTCCTCCTCCTGGTCTTCTGTAGTTGAAAGAAAGAGTGGAATGGAGAGAGAATCTGAGTGGTTGGAAAAGCAGAGCTAGCGTGTGCCAGTTTGTTGGGGAGTTTCCCAAGAGCTTGCAATGGTTGTGGTGATAATGGAAGAGGCAGTGGGGAAGGACAAGTTGAGCCTTCTTAAAAATCTGGAAGGAATTAATTTATAGGTAACGTGGGACTGTAGGTACTGTCCTTCCCCATGTGGCTAAAAAGAGCCTAGCAAGCTCCCATGAGATAGGGCACCTTGTAGGGCTCCTCCAACACCTGGGAGTCAAAGTAGCTGGCAGGAAGGAGGAGAGAGTGAAGGGGTCCCGGGAGGGAGCAGCTCTACTCCAAAAGTAATGAAAGTCACCCCTCTGCCCACCCTAAGGGCCCCTGCTAGGTGGCTCCAGGAAAGAATAGTCTCATTTTGGCTCTTAAGAGGCCTTTTGCCTGAAGAGGGTGGAGCTTTCCTCTTAAACTCAATGTTTGTACAACCAGAAGAGATAGGTGGGGCTTTGAATACGCTCCCTGGCCACCCGCATGTGGAGAAAGAAGACTGCCCATGGGCTGGTATTTAAGGACATAGTCTGGGGGTATAGCCAGAGAAGGATTGAACAGGGAGTCCCAAGCATGAGAGAAATGTAACTCTAAATTCCTGGCGCTATACTCTATCACCAAAACAGAAACATTTCTCTCCCTGCCCACTTCCCCCCGCCCTAGTGGAGTCACTCATTGGAGCTCTGGCTTGAGGACCCAGGGAGGCAGAGGTGACCCCACACAAAAAGGCCAATAGTGAGAGAAGAGACCAAAACAAAAGGGGAGGGGGCTTGGGGCAAGATGTCTGAGAGCAGGGAGGCAAGAAATAAGGTTCCAGTGGTCCCAAGAAGGGCAGAAGAGGCTGAGGTGGCCATCTAAGTACTAGGAGAACCAAGATTTGTTTGAACAGGAGGTGCTGCCCTAGGCTGTAGGCAGAACACTGCCTGACAAGCTTGGTAGCAGAAGAAACTGTATGTCTTGAGAGAAAAATCTGACCCAGGAGGACTTCCTGGCTAAACCAAGCAAAGCAGCTTGGCCAAGAGCTACTAAGGCTCTTATGAAAAAAGTCTGTAGACAGAAGTCATGGACCCAGAACTAAGGGTGAGGACTTAACCCTCAATTCTCCACTGACCCTTCCAATTCTTTGAAATTCCATACATCTTTTATGAAGAATTATAAAAATACCCTTTCTGGCTACAGCCCCTACACATGTTGGGGGGAGAGGCTCAGCTGCTGCCCTGGAGCCCAGATCCTGGGGCACAAGCAGTTGAAGGGGTGAGGAGGGTTGGGGGAAGTAGAGGTGGGGCTCCTCAGCTTCCTTGGCTGTTGTTGGTCTTTTGCTTTCCTACCCTGCCCTAGATTTTAAGAGACAAGGAGGGTCCTCGCCCTGGGGCTATAGGAGAACAGGAGGAACAACCAGCCCAGTGGGTGTGACTGACAGGACAGGGCAGTGATGGAGATAGTGATTGCAGGAGCTGGATAAATGGGCCTGCTCTCAGGAAAGACCTGAAGCCATCTGTGGGAGTGGAAGATGTGTCTGTGTGAGTGTGAGGCCTCCCCTACCTGACACCTGCCCACTGAGGAGTTAGGGCCACTTTCTGCCTGGTGTAATGCTGATACATTTAGGTGCCAGACATTCAGACCCAGTGGGCCAGGACTATGTGGCCCATAACAGCAATAGGTTAGGTCCCAGAACTATGTTCTCCTGAGTCTGCTACTTCCTGTGTGTTCAAACCTGTCTTGTCCTCCATAGAATTTAAAAATTTGGTGAGTGAACCAGGGGTCTTTTGCTCTAAAGGTCTAGGCCTGATTACTCAGTAAGAGGGGGATAATAAGAAACACGTATGTATTGAATACTTGGTATGTGGCAAAACACTGGTTTAAGTACTTAACCAGTGAGTTAAAGTACGTAAAGCAGTTAGAATAGTGCCTGACATATAGTATTGCAAGTAAGTAAAAATTCTCATAGCAACCCTTGAAGGTACTCTTATCCCTCCTTTTCAAAGAAATTAACACGTCTAGAGAGTTGCAGTACTCACCTAAGGTCACACAACAGGTAAGTGGGACCATGGCAGTCTGAACCCACAACCCATTGTCTTTGAAATCGCCAAGCCAAAAGTACGGGATCCATGGCCCCTTCCCTAAAATGAAAATACTCAGCATATAGGGTGGTGACCTTAAAAAACACAACCCTGGATGGAAGCCTAGGAGCTCTGGGGGATGCCTAGTTGTAGGGGTAGAGGGAACTTGATCTTTGGAGAACAAAGGATCATAAAAGGAGCAGGAGAGATAATTGACCAGTGGTTCTCAACTGCCCTGGGGGGAGGATGTTTACAAAATGAAGGTCTCTGGGTACCATATCTGGATATTCTGATTCAGTAGATCTGGGATAGGACCCAGAAACCTGCATTATAAACAGGAGATTTGATGCAGGTCTCCACTGAGAATCCTTACCCTAGAGAAGGCAGTGGGGAGAGGGGGACAAAAGACTGCATTGCCAAGAGATAATGGAGGATCAGTGGGATTGGGTCAGAGCATTAATTAAGTAAGGTGTCGCTAGCTCTTGAAGCTGGTGCGAGGAGTACCCAGTGGAGCCCACAAAAGGCCTGAAATGCGCGAAGTGGTGGTAGAAGAGTGGTTGGGTGGTGTGCAGTAGACATGCGCATCTGGCTAGTTCTCTCAAGCTGCAGAGCAAATGGGATTTACCTAAGCTTTAAGAGTCTCCAGAGAGTCCCAGGACCCAGGTCCTGTTCTAAGTGAGCAAGGGCAAGGCCCATCAGCCTGTTGGAGGGGGTACTAAAGGATGTTCTTTTCAAGGCTGTCCATTCCGGGTACCAGGAATCCTGGGCAAGGTAAATGACAGGACCCGCGGCCCAGAGGGAGGGGCTGGTTGGGATCCGCGGATTGGGCCCAGCTTGCCCCACACAGGATTCAACTTGCTGCTCCCAGGAGCGCAGCACGAGGAAATCGCGCCCCCTCCGGGAGGGCGGAGAAAGCGAGGTGGCCTGCCAACCCGGAACGGCCCTAGGCTCCCAGGCCTCGGAGCTGCCTCCACTGCGGGTCTGGAGAAGGGAACCCCTGGGGGTGTGGGGCGCAGCGCCGTTGACCCTTGTTCTAGGCCCCACACACTTTGCGCGCGGAGATAGAGGGAGTCGGTGAGGGAGGAGAGGAAAGCGATCCCTCCGCTCCCGCCCTTCCCGGCCGCAGCAGCCGGCGAGACGCTTGTCCTACAGCGCCTCCTTCTGGACGAGGCGCCAGACAACCGAGCAGGCCGACCACCAGCCCCGGAAACCTGAGGCTGAGACTTCCTCCAGCGGGCGGAGGTCTCCCGGCACCAGAGGCTGGTTCTACAGTGTCCCCTGGGGCGGCTGAAAGGAGCAAGAGGGACCTGAGGCCACCTCTCATCCCCTACCCCCCCACCCCAGCACAAACAACAAGCTCGTGGCCCATTAATTAAGCGAACCCAGGCGGGAAAAGCCCTTATTTGTCCGTTTGTTTATTTATTTATTTGACTACTCTTCGCCAAGCTGCTGCGCCCCAGAGCCCTCGAATGTGCTGTGCTGGCATAACAAGATCCGGGAATGATCGGGCTGAAGGATTGGCCCGAAGTTTGGCGGTTTGAACAGGCGCCAGGAGGAAAGGCCTTTTCCCAAAGCAGTAGCACCAGGCCGAAAAAAAATCTATACCCTTCCCCGAGGGGCAAATATATGCTATATATATACTGGAAAGAAGAATGTTTCCTTTGGCCCCTGTCTCGTATTTGCAGCCTATGTCTAGCGTACAGATTTAAATTGGGGTGAGGTGATGAGTCATAATGATTGGAAATGTAGCCGAAGGTAGAACTGTTCAGCTATACAGGGAAGGCTGAGATAAAGACAAGATGAGTAGCGAGCCTTGACGGAGGGAGAATGGAAAGATCGGGTGTATCTTCCTGCTCGAGTCCACTCGTCCCCTCCCCCACAACCCGTGCTTTGCCGATTGAATCCTCGGGCCGGACAATTTAACTGCACATGCGCTAGACGCCGGGCGCGCGTGTGTAGCGGGCACTGTGGGGCCCCGAGCTGTGCCGCCTGCGTGCACCGCGCAGTACGGATGAGGCACCGCGCACCGCTTCTATGCCTGGATGCAGAGGAGCTTGGGAACCTCATCTCAAGAAGCAGGAAACATACTTTTGTTTTTCAGTAAAACCTGTATTAAAAGCTTCAACTGTCCTTTCTGATTTGCAAGCCCTATTCCGCCGAACAAGCAGCATCTCCTCGTTGCCAATGAACACTCTGAAGGTTGTTATGTGGATCAGAAATGTCACATACAGGGCACTGCTTTCCTTAAATTGTTCTTCAAGGCGGGGAAAACCACCCTACATTCAGAGAGCACAACTTCTCCCTCATTCTGCAAAACTATCAAGTCTAAAGGACCAGTCCCTAGAAAGAGGGCATCTGTTCACGCCATTTCCGAAAACGTGACCCTAAATTGAATTTAAGTTGGAATTCTGAGTTTTTGGTGGCTTCTCCCCAGCTTCCGGTGCCCCCGTTTACCCTGCCCGGCTGCCTGGCCGCCGCACTGCGGCAAGGCCGTAAATACCTCTAACAGCTGCCTGCCAGCCCAGGGTGAAATACTGTCTTTGTTCGATTTCCCTTGCCTTTCTGGTTCAGAAAACAGAACTCTGGCAAAATGTACTTGTTTGTAGAAACATCTGACGAGAAAATACGCTTTGTTTTCAGCTCTCGTGCTTGGCCACATTTATAATTTCGAGTTTCGCTCTTTCTCCTGATCCTCGCAGAGATCTCAAGCCCAGTTCATGGCCTGACCCGTCGTCACCAAGGTCAGGACATGCTACCAGCTCCCTGCTCTATGAGAGAACAGAGGTTTGGGCCAAGGACACCGGGAGTTATACTTCCGGGCTTCTCAGCTCTTAGGGTCCCAGCGTTTTAAATTTTCGTTTCATTTTTTTTGTTACGTTAACAGAAACAATGGGGTTATTTCCGGTAGTGGCAACAGCACGAACTAGTCTCCTTGAGGACTAATGGCCCGAAAGTTTTTGTGATTTGCGGATTATTTCCCTTAGATGCAATCGACCATTTCGTTCTAATAAGAATTAATGCTACCACGGGGCTTACAAAGAACCCCTCAGTCTTCCAAATCTGCCCATGACATCAACCTCTGCTGCGTAATCGGACCTGCACCCAACCCAGGTTTTTAGTCACCCAAGCGCGCTGGGCTACAGAACCCAGGGAAAGGCACTGAAGCTCTTAACATAGAGCTTGGCCATCAGGGCCACACCCCCACCCCCAGCCGGGTACCATCCAACCTAGGGACTCTTCCTGCTCCGGATCTACCCGGCAGGGCCTAGAAGCCACTGTCCAGGTGCCTGCTTTTCAATGGGGAATATTTTTTACCCCATCAAACAATGACCTCAAAGACCATTGTACCGTAGTAGAGAAATAATTACAAAATACAAACACTCCAAGTAAAAAAAAGAATCACTCAAGTTTCTTATTTGTAAGTGATCAGAATTAGTGATCCAGGAGAATTTGCAGGCATCAGCTGGCCACAAATCGTGGACCTCCATTTTGAAATGAGCATGATTCCATCATTAATTATGAAAAACACCTTTCCACAAAGATGACATGTTTTGTTCAGAAACGCTTTTATGGCCAACGTTGTTACATTGGAATTTTAAGAGAACAATAAGTTAGGATTTACCACTGGGTGCTTTGGGAACCATACCCTTGCCTCGCGCAGGCCAGTCTCATGCGCAATGCGGCAGATTGTCCAAAGGTTTCATTTCACAATGTTCATGACGGGAATAGGCAATAGGATTTACGAACTGCATCCTCAAGTGCCATTCAAAATCAGAGGGAGAAAATAGCTTTTTTTCTTCTGCAAAGGATTTTCTTTTATGCATATTGTTTCATTTCAGCAGTTTTGAAGTTGAGGGAAGAATGTTACAATGTAATATTTATTAGTAGGCGGAAAAAAAAAACCACACAACCCATCAATACACTTAGAGAGCAAAAAGATCTACTCTTCCTACTCTGGCAAATAAGAAACACACGATGTTTGAACACAGAGATGTCTTGTATTTCTCAAAGATTTATTGGGTTTTTACCAAGACCTGGACCATATAGTCTGATACCATTACTTCCCAAAACATGCATTCATTTTGTGATATAAAATAATCCAAATTCACCTGACAGATTATCATATGTGGGAAGAACCTATCTTGAGTTGTTTAAAAATTTCTCTAAGAACTAGAGAAACATTTAAAAATTTTTAAAATTCCATCTCATACAACACAAGGCCCAATAAACCATTAACCCTAGAAATTAACCAGCATCAGTCACTAAAGCCTAGATTCAAACACCAAGCACATCCTAGGAACAGAGAATTCACCCCACCCCCACCCAAGTCCCAACCCTCAAAAAACACCTGTTATTCTCCCGGGAACCTCTGGCCACGACCACAGATAAACCACAAAAACCACAGCTCTGTATAAAATGCCTTTAGTGACCCCCAGCAAGTGGAGATGTTCAGTAGTAACCCGTCTACACGCTTTCTCAGGGTGGGATTGAGGGGCTCTCCATCTAGACATTGGGATCCTGTCTGTGGCTACCCATCTCTCAGAATTTCTGGAAGAAATAATACTGCCCCCTTAGACTTCTGAACCCAGCCGGACCCCGCCCCCGGCCGCAGGGGACGCCCTAGGAACCAAGAAATGGGGGGAAGGGGCTTAGACAGCGACCCTCAGTTCCCCGGGAAATGTAGGGGAGCAGCCGAACTGAGCTGACCAAGGGGGTCGGCGCCCCAGACTTCTTGGTGGCATGCTGGGGCGCGGGGAGGGGGCGACTCTTACCCGAAGGCTGCCGAGCTGCAGGCGGCGGTCGGTCCGGGCGTCTGCCGTAATCCACTAGGCGCTGCCCGGCTGCGCGCGCTCTCGGCGGCAGATACCCGCTCATGTTGGTGAAGAAACCGCGCCGGAATTGCGCGGCTGCAGTCACCTCGAGCAGGCCGGCTGCTCCTGGCAGGCGGTGTCCGCGCCGGCGGAGGGCTTGGCGCCCAAGGCCCCTTCCAGGCCCTCCCTCGCCGGGCTCCCCACCAGCTCCGGAGGTGGCGGCTGTGCGGACCGAGTGAGCGGCGGTGGGGCCAGGCCGGGCGCCGGGCGGGAGCCGAGGCCGCGGCAGACTCCGCAATCCCGCAGCCGGCGACTGAAGCCCACCTCTGCAGAGACAAAGGTTAGAAAAAGAGGGGGTGAGGCTCTGGGAAAGCAGAATGCGGGGGGAAATTCGCCTGGGAAATCAGGAAAAAGGCCGTGAAGGCGAGCGGCGCCTGCACATGACCAGCCGCAGCCAATGACGACCGCAAATAGGTCATAAAAAGGTCTATTACCAAGTTGTAAATTTTCTTCAAACAAAAAGGAATTTACTGCAATTCCTTGCGGATTTTGCACATACAGCTCGCAAGCGCCATGTTTTTTCCTCTTCTGCTTTCTCTCTCCCCCGCCTCCTCTCTTCCTTCTCCTACTCCTCTCTCCCCATTCTCTCTCCTTCCTCCCTCCTCTTTCTTTCTCTGTCCCTCTTCACCTTTCCCTTTTTTCTTCCCTTCGTGGTTCTTCCTTCCCTCACCCCCACCTCTGTTTCTCTCTTTTTCTAGGATGTGTGTGTGTGTGTGTGTTCTTTGGTTTGGCTCAAAACCTCTGCGCAGTTGGCCATTGTGAAGGAGGGAAATGAACTCAATGTACTGCTCACGCTCTGGGGAAGCGATCCCCACAGCAACCTCCCCCCATCTCTCACCCTGTGCCAGTCACTTGGCTTCTCCTCCTCTCCCCTCGGGAAAAGGCCTGTCCCCAAAGGCAGCCAACCACTTTCAGTTTCCCCTCCTCCCACTCATCTCCTTGCAAGCCAGTCCCAGTTATCTTGGGAAGAAAATGCGGGCTCTGCAGGCCAAGGAAGTGTGCCCCCCCACACACCGCTCCATCGTAAATTGGGGTCCCTCCCATTCCCGGGAGGTTCTGCAGTAGGATAATCACCAACCAGCCTAAAGGCTGGAAATGGTTTTAGGTACTTGTCAACCTCTCCGAAACACCCGTTTGAAAGTCCATCACCTGATCTTTCTCCACAGAAACATCTTTCTGGACAGACAGGGTTATGGTTCCTGGATCCCTTCTGAAACTCCTTGCTCTACATCCCCCACTAAGAGCAATTTTCATTTTTATGGAGTTTAATTCTAGTTCTCCCCTCTCCTCTTGCCCCCAAATATTTCCCAATTGAAAAATGTGTTCAACGCAATACTGAAAAGACATTTGTTCAGGAAAAGAGTGACTTCCTCAGATCAGCCTAGAAAAAAGAATAATTCCTTTTCCTCAAAGGCCGGCGTCACATTCCCTTTATATTTTTCACAGGGACTGCTCTGGTGAACTCCCGAAAGTAAATGTCCTTGGCTGGCCTCCAGCATTCCCCTCATGGGCATAGCCATGCAGCCTTCAGAACCTTCCTGAAAGAGGTAACACCACCCCCCATCCTTTTAAAGACAGTGTCTTTAAACTTCCAATACTATGTTACAAATATTTGCATTGGATATCTGTGTGTAAGTTCTCTGCTATTAACATCTTCACACCCAGTAAGTACCTAAGTGGATGTGGACTGAAGCAGGAAGCAGCACAGCACCCTCTGGAGCAGGCCATTTGTTATCCCTTGAAAAAGTTCTGATGACCTTGGATGTTTTTGATTGAAGGACTTTTGCTGCCATCTGTCAGCAAAAGTCATATTCTTTCTAGAAAAAAGCCAGTGGGCCCTAACTTTGCTAGAAGGAACCACAGCAGCAGCCAGGGCCCATTAAAATGTTCTCTCTCCTCCCTTGTCCACCCCCAGATGCCCAAGGATTCAGCAAATACTGGGGAAGCAGAGGACACAAGAAACTTGGATGTGAAATAGCACTTCCTTCTGTATTACAGAATAAAACAATATTTTAAATTACACAAGCAGATGGGGCAAGTTTTTGGGCCCTCACAAGCCCAGAAGACTTCACACAGGTATACTGGTATATACATGTGGAATTGAGCAAAGAAGTTGTTTAATTCCAAAGTTTTCTGAGAAATAATCTCAGTAGTCAATTTGCCTCATTATCCTCTCCCCATCTTACCCAGATAAAAGCAGAGCTTTATGACCCTCCTTTTCAATTTGGGGAATGAGGGCTGCAAAGAGACTTTGCACAGAAAAAGCAGCCATATTTGCATTTTCTCCTCTTGTGCCCAGAGGTAAGCGATGTACTGGGCTTTGTGGAACCTCACAAAATGGCATCCTTGAACTGACTTCTCTGAAAACCACTGAGACCCACATCCTCTTTTGTGTGTTTCTGGTCATTGCAAATGGAGAGCCTAAATCACTCAGAAGGCTTGGTTCTTTCATTCAGTGTTAACATTGGAGAGTATTATTTTTCTCTAAACGGTTTACAGACCTCTCTAAGCCGACTGCTGCAGTCCAGGGCTGAAAAGCACTGTCCGGGATGGCAAAGCATTCTCTGAAGGTTTATGCAAATTTCTGCAGCAAAAAAATGTTTGCTTGTTGCCTCAATGCTTGGATGTTGAAACATTTGAGCCAATTAGAAGGGCATCTTGTGCGCGTCACTGCCAGTCTGTCTGCATGAAACACCATGATGGGGGGTGGGGATGTCTAGTCAGTGTAAGAAAGAAGGTGGCGAATGTGTGTGATGTGTAATTCCCCAAGGTCTTTATTTGAACACAAATCTATGCTCTTTCCCAGCTACAAAAGGAAACATTTACCTACATGTATAATTAACACTCTGGGCGTGTAAGCTATGTATACATACAAATCCATATTCTAAAATACACCAGCTATTGCAACAGTCTTTGTCTGTACATGAGGTATGAATTTACCATGGTTTAGGGGGCCAGTGGGGCCAAAAGTTACACTTCGAGACCAGCACAGAATGCTGAAGAAATGACATTTTACCTCCTCTTCCTTCCTTGATTTCCATACCCACCCATACACAGTGCTCCCACCTGACAGTCTTGCCAACATTATTTCAGGGTTCTAAAAGAATTTGGTGAGCATCCTTGAACAGGAGACAGCCAGTTTTACTAATATACAAAGGAGTCCTGAGTCCCTTAAATCCAGGGCAGCTGGATTTCAGCCAGCACTGGTCTTTGTATGGTTTACACTGGAGGCTGTTCCCCAGCCTCTTGGCCCTTGGCATCCTTACTCTGTACCAGCCGAGAGCAGTCTTAAGCAGCGCACAGAGCAAAACATTCTCAAATCCAGCATAGGCATTTGCAGCTGTCTCTTGGAGTGCAAATGTTTAAGTCCTGGGCCACTTGTGATTTAAAATTATCTTTCCTGGCTCAGGTCGGAGAATGTCACAGCCATCACTTCTTCCCAGCATGTAAAGCCAGGTGGTGCTTTCCTTCTGACCTGGCCAGTGGCAACATTTCTGTGGTCTGTGAAGCCACAGGCAAACAGCCTGACAAAACCCGATGAGGTGACCCTGGTGCAAAACTATAGGATTCCATTTTCTTACCTATGTAATAAAAGCAACTCTGGAAATAAAAACATATCCCTTTGAAAATAAACACGGTTAGAGAAAGCAGAGAGCTCTTTGATGACTACCTAATAAAGGTGCTTTTCCTTTTTCGGGAATGAATGTTACTTTACTTGAATTTTCCTCTTTTCTCCCACTCCTCTTCCCCCTACTTTCCCCTCTAAAATGGCAGCTGCAGGAGCAGCCTCCAATGGAAAATGGATATCTTGTTAATAACAGATGCCAAACCCCAGCATCAACGCTGGCTCAGTGGAATAAGCTGTGGTGTAACAAGGACTCTGGGTTGTCCCCCACTGGGCCCACAATTTGAGTCCTTTAAGAGGATCAAAGCTCTCAGAGCATCTTAGCAAGATTATTTAGAGCAAGATAGACTAGCAAGGTCTCTCAGGCATAAAAAGGAGCCACTACGGTTTTTTTTTTTTTTTTTTTTTTTTTTTTAACAGCGCAGAATGTGTGTAACCCCACCCCTTTCTTATTAAACAGAAGCCTTGAGTGAGTCCTGAGGCGACTGTTAGTGATTCACGGAAAAGGGGTATTTGCCGCGCTCAAAGACACTAACTCCAGAAAGAGATTCATTTATTTATTAAGGAGCTAGCGACATTCTGGAGTTGTTTACACTCAGGTTTTTCTGCTCTTCCTCTCAGGGCTTGTTTCAAATAGGTAAGGCTATCACTTTCCTGAAGAACAGCGGAGGACGTACCAACAGACGTCTGAGATGCGCACAGCAAGCTGGTTTAAAACCAGCGGCGAAAAAAACGAAGGCAATACAAATAAATATGGCACCTACTGAAAATAACGGAACACAGCGGCAGCCACTGCATAAAGAACTAGCGATTTCAGGCGATTACAGGGGCGGTTCAAAACGAAAGCAAGTTAAAAAATGAGACGCATTTTACAAGGCGATTTGCCAGAGTTGCCAGATTATTTAATTTGTATGGACTATAGAAAAATAATTGTCAACTTGGACATTGCCTTTAAACTCTTGTCACTGGCCCAATCTTTTCCTTAAGTTTAAGGAAGCTGCAGAGCTGGACTATACCGTTACACTCTTCAGCTAATATGTGCTTTTCGAATGTTTAGCCCAGCCTTTTCCCCGAGATACTACATTTAGAAAATACGCACAGAAACCTTTTAGGAGTAAACAAAACGCACCCGAACCATTCATTATAAAAGAAGAAAAAAATCCATAAATAATACATTGTAATCAAATAATATAAAGTATTCTGCAGACATCATTTTTAAAACAAATTAATAGACTCCTTTTAATTTACTCACCACAAAGATTAAAACGTTCAAGTGCACTTGTTTGATTAATAAAGCATTTTATATTCAATTATTAAGTGCTAATCATTAGGAAGTTTACGTTGTTCAGGCAAATCACCAGCTCAGACATTAAAAACCATTATAAAAATATAGCTACAAGGTCAGTATCAAATTACCCTTCCATAGGACAGCTCAAGGACTGCTTCTATGTGATACTAGAAACTTTTTTAAACACCCAAATCCCTCTCAAAGCGCAGAAGCCTCAAGAGCAGTGACATGAAGGTAGCTTGAAACACAGGTAAGGTCCTTTCCAATAGAAAATAGGTGGTGTCCACAGCATATGGTGATCATTAGTTTTAATAGTCTGTGGTAAAATTTTAAAGGTGGAAGTTAATTTGTCGGGCCTTCTGCTCTGTCTTCCTCCAGCTCTTGGGCTTCCTTTTTCGTTTCCCCGTCCTTTACCTCCTGCCGGGAAACGGGAAATTTGTCCTTGTTGTTTTCCTTTTTCCATTTCATTCTCCTGTTTTGGAACCAGATTTTTACCTGTCTCTCGGTGAGGGCTAGGGCGTGGGAAACCTCGATTCTTCTTTTTCTGGTCAGATAGGGGTTAAAAAGAAATTCCTTTTCCAACTCTAGAGTTTGGAAGCGACTGTAGGTTTGTCTTCCTCTTCGTCTACCAGGAGCTGCTGATTAAAACAAAAAAAAAGGGGGGGGGGAATAAACGTTTTAAAAATGTTATGGTACCTCTGCATGTTGCTGGAGGTTTGTGGAACGGGGCCTACGGGGTGAAATATACACAGCGCTTTTTAGCTCAAATATATATAGGGTGTGCAGGCAAGAGAGGCAGAGAGAAGGTCTTCACAATTATTCTGTCCCCATCATCTTTACATGGTTTCTACTTTAAAAAAAAAAAAAAAAGTCTGTATTACTTTATGAATAAGAGCCACTGTGGCTACACAAGAAGGAAAAGGAGGGGGAGAGGGAAGGGGAGTTTTAAAGCCAGACCGTGAGATGAAAGCAGATTTCTCCCCCTCTCCCCTCTTAAAAAAAAAAAAAAAAAAATGCATCCCAACCTTGTGGTCTCATCCAGGGAAACATTTGAGAAGGAGACGAGCTCTGATTTAAGTGGTCTGGGTCCTCGCCAATATTACCACTGGACGATTTACAGTCAGGATATTGTACCAGCTCGGCCTCTTGCTGGGTCGTAAAAATCGGCTGTCTCTGTAAGTTATCGTATCCGTAAAACTTCGCGGGCTCCCCGTGACAGGCAATCCCGCCGCAGGGGGGAGGCGGCGGTGGAGGCGGAGGATGCGGAGGAGGAGGGGGGGCAGCCTGGTAGGCAGCGGCCGGGCTGCCCGCGCCGGGGTGGAAGTAGTCCTGGCCCGGGCCGCCCCCACCGCCGCACCCCGGCCCGGAGGGCGGCGGGGACGGGTGCGGGTGCGCGTGCGGGAAGCCGGCTGCGCTGTTGCCATAGAGCTGCAGGGCTGCTGCGGCGGCGGCGGCATGACGGCCGCCGACCTCGGGCGCGAAGTGACAGTCGTAGTAAGTGGGATTGATGGCCTCGCCCGCCGCCGCCGCCGCCGCCGCCGCCGCCTTGTACTTGGAGTACAACGGGTTCACGAAGTACGAACTCATTGGGGCGGCAGCGGCGGCGGCCCGGGACAGGCGGGCGGCGCTAAGCAGGCAGGGAGCGAGCCTCGACTCGGCCGCACTGCCGCGGGGGCCTCTGGGGCGGCTGCTCACGCCGCCAGGGCCGCCGGGCTACGTCGCTGCTGCCGCCCGCCCGCGCTCGACCGTCGCTTCTGAGGCCGGGCAGCCGCGGGCGCTCAGCTACTGGGCGCTCATGCCCGGCTCTTGCGCCCCAGACTCGGCTTCGCGCCGCCTCCCTCGCGGGTCGCAAGGCCTCGCCCAACCCCCGCGCGCCGCCGCCCTCCCGGCCTTTCCCGGCGCGCCCCGGCTCGGCCGCAATATAATCGCCGACGCCCCAGGCGACCTGCCCCGCTGCCTCCACTGTTTCCTCTCAGGCACCAAAAGTGCCTGAGCGCACCCGGACAAGAAAAAAGTGCGCCCGGCCCACGGGGACACTCTGGCCTCGGTTTACAAACCCCCGCTCTGGAGAGAAAAGAAAAAAAAAACACCCTCTGTCCGCCGCCACCTCTTACCGCGCCCCCCCCGGGCCCCCCTCCCGCCGCTCTCGCCCCCGCCGCCGAGGCTGCCGCCCCGGTGCGCACCGACGAGGCATTTTCGCACCACAGCAGTGCACGGAGAGGCAGCGTGACGGGGGCCAGGAGCCCCGCGGAGGGATCCGCGCGCAGTTCAACCACTACTCCCGACGGACTGAGCGCTGCGCCCGGCCCGAGATGCCTCCGCCGGCCTTAAAGGGGGCCCATAAAGACGCACTGCCAAGGGCTCTGTGTGCCCCGGGGCCTCGGGAACGCGGGCCGCAACCGGCACGGAGGGGCCGCAGCGGAGCCTTAGACTTGGGGGAGGCAAGGAGGCCACTCCCAGGAGGCTGCGGAGCAAATGACTCCCTCCCCGAGCCCCTGGGTTTAGCCCAGCAGAGGTTGCCCGTGGCTTTTGCAGCTCTTGACACTTGGGTGCAGCCCAGGGAACGTGGACAAGAGGTGTTGAAGGACCAGACCGTGCATTTGACTTGGGGCATATCGAAGTGATTTGATTAAAAGCCGCGAGTGTGGCCCCAGATCCTGGCGTTATCAAAGCAAATCAAAGCCCTTCTTTTCCAGCCGAGTGGGCCCCGTGGAAATGAGATGTACATTTACCCTTGACGTACCGCAAGCCTGGCCGAGGCTCTCAGGTTAATTGATATTTAATGGAAATCATGCCCATGAATATAGTTTCCATCATTTCACCCTTGATAGACGTCAGCAATGGGCGCAGGGGGAGGCTGAAGAATGCAGGAGGGGGCATTAGGCTTGCTGAGCGAGTAAATAGAAGAGCGGACAAACATTCTGAGGCGGGAAAAAGGGCTCGCGCTGGGGAGGGTGACATTTCCTCGGGCAGGACGCGGCTCCCGGGTCTCGGCCCCGGCGCGCAGCGAACCAGGGCCGGCTGTGGTTCCCGGAGGAGCGCTGGGGGCAGACGCCAGCGAGATACCCCCAGGAGCCTCCCGGCCGGCGTTCAGATCGCGCCGGTTCCAGGCAGCTGCAGGCGGCCCATCTTCTGCTAATGATCCTAGTTCCTCCGCCAAGCCTGTGAAATTACTGCCGAGAGAGCCGCAGGCCTCAAAGTTACGAATTTTTCCCAAAGCAGAGAAAGGGAAGGCTCAGGCTAGTTTGTGAGCAGAGATGAAGAAAAGTAGCCCGAGTCATGTGGCCCAGTCAAGTGTGAATCGACAAAATATTCCTGATTTTAGCAGCTCTCTCCAAAGCTGTCTGGCTTTACCCTACCTACCAGCCTTCTCCCCACACACTTCCCTTCCCTCTCTGCTCCCGTTTCAATGTCCAATAAATGCAATGGTTCTCTGTTATGTGTGTGTTTTCCCCTCTCCTGCTCGGCCTTTTTCGTGGGTTCTTTGGGTGACGGAGCCACGTTTCCTTCGGGATAGGTACAATATCGTGAGGGCGCCAGGCCCACAGCCTTGGAAACAGACCTCCAAGGCGCCCCTGCTCAAGCTAAACGCACCACGCCGGCTTTCCACACCAAATGCAAATTTCCGAAAGCCCCAGACGGCCTCAGAGATGCCGCAGGCTGGCGAGTGATTTCAGCTACCCCTCGCTCCTTGTGGGTTGGCCCAGCCTGCGAGCGCGATCCTGACTTGTGTCCGGGTGGACTGAAATATCATTTTTACAAATGGAGAAAATGAGATCGAGATAGACTGACATAGCAAGGTGATAATGTCTGACTCAATTATTTCTACTGGGAATGACTGAAAGGTAAAGGAATCGTTAATGAACCTGGAGATGATAAAGGCGTGCTTTATTTAATTTTTAAATTAGTAAGGAGTACAGACTTGGGGTGGTGGAGAGCAAGGGTCTTTTTTGTTTGTTTGTTTGTTTTTGTGGGTTTTTTTTTCTGCTGGTGATTGCCAAGTGTAATGACTTTCTTTAAATCCGAAGGCGAACAAATTGATTCTGACAGTTAAGGATTTGTCCTTCAATCTTGCAAATGCCCAATTAAAAGATTATTATTGTCAATAAAGCCTTGGAGCTACCTTTGTAATTGTGCCCCTTTTTTCAGTTTGGCGTGTGTGTGTGTGTGTGTGTGTGTGTGTGTGCGCGCGCGCGCGCGCGCATGTTTGAACCCTGGATAAATGAGTGGATTTTGGAATGGAATGGGGGAAAAAAATGAAAGAGCCCGGATCTCAACAATACCAGGTATCTTCTAGAACTGTGTGATTCCTCGGGGGAATAAAAGAAAAGTGAACACTAGAAAATTCATTTATAGCTATTCAGGCCAAATTTAGAAAACGTTACAACACATTTCCTCTTGGGACAGAACAGTTTTTAACATTTATTTAAGCATTCCGTTTATAATATGAGTAGAAAAAGAGCGCGATTAACTTGGTAAGCAAAGATCTATGCCTTTTACAGGTTTCTGTTTTGATATAACACATTCATTTATCATAATGTTTTATATTTTCAGCTGTGCCATACTCCAAATTTTCTGAAGCCCTGACCGAGCCAAAATTTTATTCCCAGCAAACACTGCCGGAAAACTTAATAGTATACCTTGTTTGTTTTTGGTTAAATTTATCCTAACTTAGGATTAAAAATAAGATTGTAAATATTTTTAATCAAAACCTTTCTCCGCAGCAATTCCAGCTTTACGAGATCAGAAAGTGGAGCAACAGCGCTCTCTAGTGGCCAAATGCCACCTCCAGTCCGTTGAATTTAACTTCCTTTTATTCATCTCAAACCAATTCTAATCTCGTTCTTTAGTTTGGGGCTTGGACTGCTGACACTAATAATGCTTCATTCCTGTGATTGTCAACAACTCAAGAGCAGCAAGCAGGAGCTCCTGTATGCCTAGAATATTCTAATCAGTGCTCCCAACAGCTTCCAGTAGTGTCTTTTCCAAAAGCTTCCAGCCCTTCTTTTGCCAGACACCAAAAGTCCCTATGCTGTAACCGCCCAGCTGTGCCTTTTAAAACAATTATAGCGACAGGCTAGATTTAACAAAACTTTCAACTTTCTAAATATCAACTGCCAAGAGGCTTTTTCTTTTCCAGAGGAACCACACACTTTGGCAACCAAGAAATTACAGAAGTCAGGTATTGTTATGTTTTTTGTTTTTCTGTTACAGCTGTTGCTTTTAGGATTAAATCATGAATATTTGCTATTTTAACACTGTAATGCTTTGGGCCCACTTAGGTGGCAATTTTGGGGAATCGAAGCCAAATCAAAAGCTTTTTGCTGGATCTCTGAGTGGCTGTCTGGAAAGTCCCTTCAGGCTTGGGTTCGTTTGAATTTCTATGGACAGTAAATGGGATTTTAAAAATATTTATCAAAAGTCATTGAACTAAGCATTCCACTAGAATTTTTTTTAAAGCAATAATTATTCAATTGGCTTAAGTGTTTCCTGTTAGATTAATCTTTTTACTCATCTTCAAAATTGCTTTTCTCCCATTTAGGTGTAACAATTGTATTTTAAAATAAGTGAATACACATAAATTCAAACAATATTTTGCTTCAAAATTTGGAGTGGAGGGTCAGAAATTCTTGTGAATAGGCATCTAACTTCATCTTTTCCCACCAACCACACTTCTGGGAGACTCTCAACTGGGTAAATGACCTAAGCTCAGTAACCGCCCTACCCACAGATAACAGGCCAATATTTTTGTTTATTTCTAAAGAACCAGCTAAACCGTGGTCATCGTCAAAATATTATAAAATGCCATTGCCTTAGGCTACTTCCAATATCCAATTCATTTCAAAAATCAGAAATTCATTCACCTCTTCCTTCCTCTTTCATGTTTATTTCCTAGGTGCTCACACCTCACCTGGGGGCTCCTATGCCCCTGCCTTCTTGGTCCAACGCAGTCTTGTTTATATTTTATTGTCTAGATTTTAAGACCTAGTTTTGTCTGCATTTTTCCTTTCCTCCCACAAACACAAACATCAAAATGAGATGGTTTCAAAGCAAAGCACCGGGCCTGTCGTAAACTCATTACCTCCAGACGTCTGGCCGGCTAGATGGCTTTATGACACCTTGGCTCTTCCTGTTTTCAAAGAGCCCTAGGTACTGAGCTGGCCACAGGGGCAGGGGTACGCAGCACCTTCTGCCAGATCTGAGCCTTTCTTGGCTTTCCCTCCCAGCCCCCTCTGCTTTTTCTTCGAGTCTCCTCTTTCATTGGGATCCCCCAAGATCTCTGCCACTGCCCTCACCTTCCACCCAGCTCAGGCCACCTGGTGGTGGTGCCTCTTCGGCCTGCAAAGGCTGTGCTCACCCGAACCCTCACTTACAATGACCTTCATTTTAGCCCCTGAATGTAGCCCTCAGAGGGCCAAGCTGGGGGCTAAACATACACAGAAGCTGGGTGGGGGGAAGGGAGCGGTTAAATGGAGGTGGCTGGGGAGGAAAGCCTTGACCATTTTGATCGCTAAGGTCACTTTGGGGCTTTGGTGGGAGGGACAGAAGCTTACAGACTGACCGGCTGGGACCTCCCGGAGCCAGTCAGCCCCCCCGAGCTCGGACAGTTGCTCCAGAGTGCAGAGTTGGCCTTTCCCTTGTTTGGAGAGGGGTTTGGCATCTGGGGCTCCAAGAGCCCAGGGAAGGTTAGAGTGCTGTGTACCCAAGCCCTAGCCTGAAAGTGCCTCGCTTCTGGGGCCTGCTGGCTCCTCTGGGCGCTGCTGCAAAGCTAACACTGGGCCCAAGCACAGAGTTCATGGAGGAGCTTGAACCAGGTTTGGGGAGTCACCAATGTCCCCCCCAGGGTCTGTGCTGCCGCATCTGCCTGCACAAAGGGATGTGAGGCAGAGAAGGCAGAGACACATCAGAGAGATCTGTCAGGTGGAAGGGCCCTGAATTTTTAACAGTGTCTCCCTCCCAGGGGTAGAGGAGAAATATTCCGAGTGTGAAATTTTGCAGAGAGACAGAAAAAGCAGGCACACAACGTTTAGGGCCAGCGTCTGGGCTCCATTTGATCAGGTCAGCATTTATTAGTAGGAAGCAGTAACATTTACAACTGGTCCTCGGGCAGGAACCGGGACGGCCACCATCCGTGGCCGCCCACGCGAGCCCAGCCTTCGGGGGAAAGAGTAGCGGGTCCAATGCACTGAGGACAAACCCCAACCCGCCCGAGGCCCTGGGCTCCTTTCTAGGCCTCACTGGAGATCTCCACCGAGGTCCCGCGGGCTCCCTGAGGAAAGGGGGCTTTCGCAACTGGTGGGCAACCCGGCCGGGCTTCAGCGTGGGCTAGCAGCCGGCGTGTCCGCACTGTTGTCGCTCGGCCTTCATTCTTGGAATTAGGGCGCATTTGGCCCCTGTTTGGGCAGCGCTAGGGGTGAGGGGACTAAACTACAGCACTTTTCAGAAACATGGGGGACATTTACACAAGAGAGGGCTCCCCAAGCCAGCGTGCACTCACAAAATATAGCATTTCCTAAGGAAGCAATGGAACAGGAAAGGGAGTGGGATAGGGCGAAACCCCAAAGCCACTTGGTTTTTCCAACACATAAACGAGCAAATACAGAGTCCCCCAAATACCTCACAGAGACCAACCACACAGTCACTTCTATCTAAAAAAGAAAAAAAAAAGTCCAAGTCGCTGGAGAGTTTCTGGAAATCAAGCACCAAGCACCCACAAAGGAAAAAAACAACAACAAAAACCGCTGCCCTTGAGCGCTCCCGCCAGCACCGCGCCGGGTCAGTCTCCTTTGGGGCATTTCTCCTTGCTCATCTTTTTCATTTTCATCCTACGGTTCTGAAACCAGATTTTGACCTGTCTCTCTGTTAGGTTGAGAATCCTGGCCACCTCGTAACGCCGGTCCCGGGTGAGGTACATGTTGAAGAGGAATTCTTTCTCCAGCTCAAGCGTCTGGTATTTGGTGTAGGGACAGCGCTTTTTCCGGGTGGAGCGAGCGTGGATCCAGTTCGCTGCGGGGTTGTCTACAAAGAGGGGGGTTTGGAGACGGGTAGAGATGGGCGGAGGGGAGGCAGGGAGAGATGACAGGGTGGGGAAGAGAGGTCGTTAAATTAATTTCACCAAGGATGGTCGCTTTTCACAACTTGGGGGGAATTATCATAAAAAGCCTTAATGCCAGCGCTCTGTTTACCGTACAAACCGAGCGCCTAGGGTAGGTGGTTATGGGAAGCTCTTTTTATGGATGCATGTTGCTCGCCTAGGCTTGGGTAGGCGTCTAGACGTTTTTATAGGTTAGTAAAACTATCAGTTTTGCACATTCGAGCCTTACAGGTTTCAGCAATAAATCAGGGGGCAATTTCTTTTGCACTTACTTGGGTCAAGTTGCTGTTGCTGCGGCTGCGAATGCTGCTTCTCCTCCTCCTTCAGCGGACAGCCCGGACTCGGGTGGTCCCTGCAAGCTGAGGGCTCCGACGAGCCGCCCGTCCCAGTCGCGGCCCCAATCCCTGCCCCAGGCCCGGTTCCCCCCGTCGCCGCTGCCGCCTTGTCCCGCAGGAACGAGTTGCAAGAGAACTCGGGGCCGCTGCTCCCCTGGGACTCCCGGGCCGCGGAGCACTCAGTCCGTTTGGAGGAGGAGGATAAGGAAGTGGAGGAGGAGGTGGTGGAGGCGGCCGTGGCGGGGGCCGGGGCTGCTCGGGTTTCAGGCTTAATCCCGTAGTGGCGCCCGTTGGCTGGGCCGCTGGGGCCAGGGCTGGGACCGGGGCCCGGGCCGCCGCCTCCACCACCACCGCCACCGCTACCGCCACTGCCACTGCCCGCACCGCCCGGGAAGCCGGGCAGCGGCTCCATCCAGGAGCGCACGTAGCGGCCGGGCTCTGAGGCAGAGGCGGCCAGGGGCGGCGGGGGAACGTACGGGTGGTAAAGGCCGCTCATCGCCGCCGCCGCCGGGGGCTGGGCAGGCACCGCGGACCACGAGGCAGAGAACACGGCCGATTTGGGGGCAAAACTACACGAGGCGAACTCGGCGGCGGCGGCGGCCGGGCTATCAGCCACACCTGCAGGCCGGCCCTGCGCGCCTGGCCCCGGCGGCCCGAAGCGCGCCGCGAACACCTCGTCGCCCTCATGGCCTATAAGCGAGTCCACGTAGTAGTTGCTGAGGGTGCCACTGGAAGACATTTTGAGGCGCCCCGCGCTCCCACCCAAGGTTACACTGTCCGCCTCCGAGCCGCTCCCCGCCGGCGCCCGAGCCGCCGACTAGTTCGCAGGCTGCAGCCTCCACCATTGGTCGCGCGGCCCACGTGATCATATTTACCAATACCGGGAGTAAATCAGTCCGCTAAACTGGGGGCTGCTGTGATTAAAAAAAAAAAATCATCAACATAAGCGCCACAATTAGAGCCCGCAGGCCTGGTCCATGTGCCCGGCTCGGCCCGGCCCGGCCCGTCCTGGCCCGCCCAGGTGCTGCCAGGACCACAGACGCGACCGCAGCCGGAGGAGGCGCTGGGGACTATTTCTTCGCTTCTTCTTGCAGCCCTCGGTCCGGCAGTCCGGCCCCGGCGATGACTCTCCAGCTTCCTAGCCCGGGCGGCGTATCCCGGGCACAGGGAGCGGCCGGGGGCTCGCCAGGCCGGTGTCGCCCGAGGCAGGCGGGCCCTCGGGGGCGGCCCCTGGCGCCCTAGGGGAGCTGTTCTCCTCTTGCCTCTCTTTCTGCCCACACCCATCCCTCCCCACACACACGCTTGCTCACAGCTTGTCGTGTTGTTTAAAACAGGTGGAAGACCTCTGTAATGATATTATGCCTTTCAATAAAAATTTTATGAGGTGTATTTGATTATAGATTAATGTGTCCCTAATAAAACGGACGGATGGAGCAGCTCGGAGGGCCCCCCTCCCCCTGCCACACTCACACACGCCCGCGCGGCCACACACACCCCGACGTGAGGCTGGACACACGCCGCGGCCCGAGGGCCGAGCCAGGGTGGCCGGCGCGGCGGCAGAGGACACAGAGGGGCTTCTGCCTGACCTCGGAAGGGCGGGCGGCCGGGAGAGTTGGCGCAGCACAGACAGTGGCGGCCAGGGTGCCTCATCTTCTCCGGTGCTGCTGGAAAGGCCCTGGAAGAGAACACGCCACAGGGCAGAACCCAAATGCTAGAGCAGCTTGCTCCCGCTCGCCGCCCCAGCCCTGCCTCAGTGAGTCTCCCCGGGCAGGGCCGCTTCGCGTGGTTCGCACTTAGAGGCCTCGGAGTAGACTCCCAAAATGTCTAAAAATTTCGGCCGAATGGCTAAGTCCTTGGGCCACTCCCTTCTGATTTTTTTTTTCTCCCTTACTGAGGTTGAGCAGCCTTGAATCTGAGGGAAATGCCCATTGTCACTCCCAAATCCATGGTACAAAGCCTCGGAAGCCCGGCTGGGAGCCGAGACAAAAGCGGCCGGGGCGCTGGCGGCGGTGGGCATATTCCTCGCTCTACAAGTTGCCCAGCTCACCCTTGGAGGGCTCCCGGCCCACCTCCAGCCCCGAAAAGGAAGAGGGTAAATGGCTACTTATGGCCTGATTGATTACCTTTGCCAATAGCTTTCTGATTTTGTTCCAGAGGGGATGCCTTTGCCTTGTAGCTCAGGCTTTCCTCAGAGACATGGCCCACTATCAACAACTAATGGCTCTCCCCACATGATCGGAGAAACGGCTAAATAAAAATTACCCTCCTCCTGCCCAACCGGTGTTAAGTCTGGGGCAAATCTATTACAACGTTTTCAATCTAGCATTCATTCCAAGCCCTCTCCCCTACCCCCAGGAAATGACCCCCTAAAAGAATTCTGTCTTGGAATGTTCCTGGTTTGGAGGAGGAAGTTTAAAATTCTGAATGCTAGTGTCCCAAAGACTCCCTGGATGAGGACTTACAGCACCTAAATGGATCGTTCTTAGGGAAACATTTAAAAGGAAGAAATGGAAAGGATGTGTTTTGTGAAACTGCTGGAAGCTGTTTGAAACTGCAGGCAGGACCTGGGGTAACGAATTTTCTGTTAGCTTTCCCGTGCAAGGCCTCTTCTCCCTTTTCCCCGACAGGACTAGATAAGTCTGGGCTCTCTAGTGGGATCCTGTAGAAGCCGGTGGAAGCTGGTGGGAGTCTCCCGGGCCATGGCAGTGAATGGAACAGTAGACTTCATAGGAAGTTATGTTCATTTGCAAAATTTTCAGTCACGCTTTCTGCATTTTCTTGCATCCCAGATGCCACCAGCATTTTGTAATTAAATAGAGGAAAGACTGGGGGAAATCTTTTCATTTCTTCCTTTAAAAAAATTTTAATGTGGGCCACTAAAAGGTAATGACTGAGCATAAAACCCGTCCACAAGGAGATCAAGGCAAAGTCGGATGGGAAAACTCACCCATCCTCGGCTTCTCTGGGGTCTGGCTGTCTTGCGCTTGGGATGGGGGTAGGGCTGAGGGAAAGGGGACAGAATTGGATCCGCTGCAGTGCTACACTGCTGCTTGTCCTTGCTCCTGTAATGAAGGCCGGCAACTTCCAGGTGGGCAAGACTAGCTTCAACCTAGCCCCTGATGATTGCTCGCCAGCCAGAAATCACCAAGATGCCACTGAAAGCATTAAAAACAACACAACCAAAACCAAAGAGGAGAAAAACACACAAATGGGAAGCTTTAAGGAGAAAGTGGCTTGGGGTATAGGCTTACTTACCAGGTTCAGGCCAGAGGAAAGCTCACACCCATTGAGAGTGCAATTATATTACTGTCACTGGGGACTAGGAAAGGAAAGAGGAGACTCCCCTTCCTCCCAGTTATGAAAACTTCACTCTCAGGCTAGCTTATCATTCCTCTCCCCCAACCACTGCCAAAATCCAATACCCTAGGCCTTCTCCAGCTTTTCTCCCCCATCTCCCTTTCCCTACTAGTCTATCACTCCCTTGCCCAAATGCCTCCAAAAGGGAGTGTAACCAGAAGATAATCTCACCATAGGCTTTCTTTTCCACCATAACATATTTCCATTTGAGAAAGCAGAGGGAGCGAGCTCGTTTCCAGAGTTTATTGCATTATACATGCGACCAGAACATGCACAGAAAGGACAGGTTGCTGTTGTACTTCTACCAAACCACAGATGCACCACAAGGGAAAGGCTACAAGGCATAAATCATCAATATCCCATCTCACCAAGGACAATTGCTAAATTCATTTGTGAAAAGATACATTGTAATGTGCTTTTTAAGTCCCCCTCCCTCCAAGCTTGTGGGTTTTCTTAATCTTTTTTTTTTTTAAATATATATGTCATTTTTAAAGTACTGGATGTATTCAAAATGCCATGAGTTCGTGGACTAACCACACACATAGACCTTTTGTGTTAGGAAAGACATGAAAAAGTCACATTGCTGGATGGATGGATGGATGCTCTACAGTTTCAATAAGTTAAGACCCAAATGAAAATGCGCAATAATAGTTACCCTGCATTACGATGAAAAAAATAATAAATTACACGTGCTAAGTTTTTTAATATATATATGTGTATATATATATATATACTCATAGGGATTACAGATCACTTGCAGCACGAACATAATGACCCCAAAGTCACATTCTAGCAGGAAAACAAAATACAACAAAACAAAAAACAAAGAGCGGTGAAGGTTTTGTTTCCGCTTTCCCAGTCCTCCAGCACTGGGCCCTGGAACGCGGTGCCCCCTCTCCAATCCTGGCCTCTGACCGGCCTCAGACCTAAGAAAACGTGAGGTTGGCGGTCAGTTCTCGGATCCGGTTCTCTCGGCTCATCTTCTTGAGTTTCATTCGGCGGTTTTGAAACCAAATCTTGACCTGCCTGTCGGTGAGGTTAACGCTCTTACTGATCTCTAGGCGGCGCTCGCGGGTGAGGTACATATTGAACAAGAACTCTTTTTCTAATTCCAGCGTTTGGTGCTTAGTGTAAGGGCACCTCTTCTTTCTGCCACTCTTTGCAGTGAGCCAATTGCTGGTTGGTGTATCAGACTTGATTTCCTCTAACAAAATTAAAGGGAGAAGAAGAAAAAAAAATCAAGAGTTTTTGGTTTTTTTTTGGTTTTGGTTTTTTTCTTCAGTCTGTTCAAATGTACCCTTGGCCATGACCCTGCTGGCAGCCAGGCCGCTTTGGAAAATGCTAGTATTAAACATTACTCACACGAAGTGGGCCCTGGAAGGGAATCTTACGCTGATGCCTCATTATGTAAATGACATGATGGCAGGACAGTCTGCATTTGGGTTCTCTCTCTCTCTCTTTCAACTTTCTGACTTGTACAAAACATTAGTACAATAGTAAACTTTCCAGATCACCCCAACAACATTCTAAGGGTTCAGCTCGTAACAGGGACCGAGGGGAATAAGCCACAACCTGGACAAGCCTACCAACCCCACCGCTGCCTCAAGTCCCCAAATCTGCCGCTTCTTCCCCACCTCTCCTAGGCAGTCAGGGAGCCCCACAGTCAGGTTTATAAGTGCTCATTCTCTTTCAAAAGATAAATGGGGAAGCTAGAGCACCTTTCCCACCTTGCCTGGGTATTGTTGCATTCCCCAGAATTTCCTTAATTTTCATGTCTTTTTGCCCCCACACAAAAGCATTCCCCCAGAAATGGAGCCCCCTACCATGGCCCACCTCTAAGCACTGGGGGAGAGGAGCGAGGTTCCTTCTCAAAAAGCCAGATCCCTGGCTCTTTTCCTTAGCCCAGCACTAAGGCTGGCCTTGCAGGGTGGGCAATGCGGGTTCCACTCTCCCCCTCCACCTTTGCCCTCTTTGCCGACGGATTGCAAAGCCTGCAGCACTTTTCCTAAACAAAGCCAAGGTTACCTAGCCCAGCAAAGGCAGTAAGCCCTGTTTCCCAGCTCAAGCACCAACCAGACCAGCCATCTCTTTCCCCTCACCATCCCCAAGATCGCAGGATGCGGGGTGCATACACGTGAACACGAACACGGTGCCCTGGGTCACCTTAACATGATCACTGGGCTCAAGGCAAAACTGGAACTGCAACTCTGAGCAGGAGAAAGGAGGCTCTGGGGTCGTGTTTACGAGCCGCAGGTCTCCTTTGCGCTCTTTTGTTGTGTTTCAGGTCTAGCTCAGGAAAAATAAAACCCGCAAGCTTTTCCTCTGCCCGGGAGCCATCAGTGTGGGGCCAGGACTGGCGGGGAGGGCCAGGGCAGCAGGGGAGAAGCGGGGACTCTCTCAGGGCTGAGATCAGCCCTCTAAAAGCCAGGCGGAGCAGCACCTGCCAAGTCGGGCGCCGGCTCGACGCTGGGCACCCCGGCACTCCCTCTCTGCCTGGTTCCCGGGCTGCGCGCCCCGCTGGGGTGGCAACTCTGCTCATACCGACCTTTGCTTTCCTTCTCCTGCACTTCGGGACTGGACACGGAGACCTCAGCCAGGCAGCTCCTCTCTTCGGGAAGGCCGCCTTTGGCCTCGGGGCTCTCCACCTGGGAGACTTTGGTGGGCTCCTGGCCGCTCGCGGGCTCGTTCATCTTCTTTTCCATCTGCAGCTGGGCAGCGGAGAGCTGTGGCTTGGCCGCGCCACGAGGGTTGAGCTGGAGCATGACAGTGGAGCTGCCTTCGGGGCTGTTATTGTACTCTTGGGTTTTCCCGGTGGCGTAGGTCTGACTCAGTCTAAAATATCCAGGGACGGGAACCTCAGGGTTCTCAACGGGACAAGACTCAGGGACCAGCCTCTGGTACGAAGGGACCTCGGCCGAAATGAGTTTGTTGCGCTTATCAGAATACATGCAGCAATTGGATTCTTCCTTAATGTTGGTGGTGAAGGAGCAAGTGGGGACTTGCTGTGTAACAGGTTGCTCTATTCGACAAGATCTGTTCGGATCTGTCCAACTGTCTACTTGAGGTATATAAGGATGCACATTCATACCCATATTTTGGTGGTTCACTTCTCTTTTGGCCAGAGACGGGAGCAGTCCACAGGTTTGCATTCCATAGGTCCCCATGTCTGCGCTAGGTGGTGGCATGTACATGCTGGCGCTGCTCGAATAAAAACTGTCACTCCTGCAGGCACTGATCAAGGAATCTACTAAAAAAGTATTAGCAGCAGGAGAGCTGTTGGGAAAGGACATTTTGGGGAAGAATTTGAAGAAGAGAGATTGTGTCCTTTGTAGGCTGACATCTCTAGGAAAACATTCCCCGTGTAATTGTGGATGCCTCTGCCGACCACATGACAACCAAGCCAATGAGATTTGAAAATGGCCTTGAGCCGCAGCCTCCTCTCAGGTCACGTGCTCCAGAGCCTGGCTGGCCAGCCGCGTAAGCACGGACAACAGCGACATCTACTACGCGCCCGCGATAGTGCGCGCTGGAGACAACCGGCCCAGCGCTCTCCGCCGCCCTCCAGTCCGCCTCTCCAGGGCACGCCAGGCCAGCCCGCCCCACTCGCGTCCCCCGCTTCGGCCACTGGACCCAACTGGCGGAAGGAAAGGCTCAGCTCTAGGGGCCTCCAAGTGGACACACACGGACGGGGAGGGAAGCCAGAGTGCCCTGGCGCCAGCGCACAGAAGCATCCCCCCCCCACACACCCAGGCAGAACGCGCTTAAGAGGGCCGGGTCCAGGACAAGCGGGTGGGGGCGCAGGCTGGTTAATTTAGTTCCGGGCAGCCCAGCGGGGAAGGTGAGTCGGATTCCGCGGGTCCTGAGACATCCCACCTCAGGGGTCCAAAGGAAAAACCCCTCGGGGCAAACAAGCGGCCAAGGTGTCTCTCGGAGGGTGGAGGCAAAAAAGGGCCGAGAGGGCCGGGAGGTCAAGCAGCTGGCCGGGCCCAGATCCCCATGGATGGGTCGGGTCCCGGCGTTGTCCTCCCCCTCGGTCCTCCTGCCTGGCTCCCGGTCCCTATGCGCCCCAGCGGGCTACACGAGCCTTCGGCTCTCAGAGGAACCACACCCTGACCTCTGCGGGGTCGGACATCTGGGAGCTTTCAGCCCAGAGACAATTCTTTGCTAACAGTTCACTATCCGCGAAAGCGTCCCTCGGGCTCCCGGCAGGAGAACTAAATCGAGGTTTCTCTCCCCACACCCTGATAATGGAGAGCAGAAAGGAAGGAGGAAAGGAAAAAAAATTTAAGAATAGGAGAAAGTCTGACCCTCAGAATCCAGAAGTTTTAGAAAATTGACTGGGCCAAGGAGGACAGAGAGAAATGCAAAGGTGTCATTTGGTTCTTCTGCAAAGAAAAATGTTTTCCTTTTATGGATTTTGTAAAAGCATTGGTTTCTGACAAGTGCAAGGTACAAAAGGTTGTGGAATTTATTAATACATATTAAGAAGAATCAGGGCGATCAATAAAATTCTCATCTACATTCTTGGGCTACTTGGTAATTTTCTTGCTTCTGAAGGTTTTTAAAGAGTTATGCCCGCTGTTGCCACACACGGGAAGATACTTTATTAACAAATCAATCGAGACTTTGTAAAGGATAAGATTAATAGTTAAATTTAGCATAATGGTGTTCACTTTATGAATTATTGAAAATTATACTATTGATTTTTTTCCCTTCGCTGCTAACCAAGAAGGTCAATTTTTGTTTTAACACAAATTGTCAAATATTAAAAGCTGTACTTTTGTCAGAAGTTGAGTTTTACAGTTTTGGACAATTCCTAAAATTATTTGACAAGGCTTTACTTGGGTAAGGGAGGGGAAGGCGGTGGGAATCTTAGTTCTCTGTTTCCTTTGGTGAGGGAAAGTTCTATAAAGAGGATATGGTCTGATGTTGTGGTCCAGCTCATTAAAGAACCACCACTACCACCACTACCACCATGGAAACTCAGAGTTTTATGAGAAACTTCAACAACTTCCTCCCTCCCTCTCTGGTTGCAGGCGGGTGAGCCGCCCTGCGGAAGCCCGGGCCTCGGGGCAGCAGCGGGGAGCTTTAACCTTGATTTCCAAAGACTTGCCCTGAGTGAGGGGCTGGCCAGGGCTTGCAGTCGTCCTTCAGCCTACCAGGTTCCCTTCCTGCCAGCCGAGAAACTAAAGCAGCCCCAGAAACTCTGACCGTGAACCAGTTCTCAGTCTGGGAGGGCATTTGTGTTCTCTTTTCCCCACACTCGCTGGGGCATGGGCTGGCCTTGGATTTCAGGCCCACAGACTGAACTTGTGGGTAAATTGGGTTTCCGCCTCAACAGAACGTTTCTTTGGGGCCTGATGTTCATTAAAGCGCCTCAGCATTCTGGGGGACCTAGTAGCCCGCCCGCTCCTTTACAAAACCCTTTCCCAACAAACCCTTTGTCCCTCTTCCCAAAAAGGAATCTCCCCTGTCCTGGTGGAAACAAGCGTTGAACATTATTTTCGGCCTTGGGATCGTTTCGCTTGTTCCCTCTCAGTGCTCTCGCCCAAACAATAACCTCTTTTAAAAAACTCCGCGGTGGCAATGAGACAGACCTTTTAAACCTTTATGCAGCTGTTCAAATACAACATCATTGTCAGGTTAAAAGCCTGGCGCCTCTAACTGCTTTGGCTGCGGCATCCCAGCATAGCCTGAGGTTTAAACATTACCTTTCCACAGGGGTGGCTGTTTTTGAGCTTGGGGGTGGGGGTTGAGGATGCAGGGGGGAAAAAAAAAAACCCGTAACTTTTGACTCTAGGTTGCTAAGGTACTGTTCAAAGCTAACAACCACTGAGCAGCGCCCTGAAATTTGCTTTCTCACATAGTAGAGATCTTGTTCCGAGCCAGGGCTAAGCGTGCCCAAGGCTGGATACAGTGCCCGCTGCACTCGCTTGCCGCAGGCGTCCTGACACCAGCTTGGCGCTCCAGCAGTATCGAGTGTCTCCCTTTTGCCTTTCGGCCAAGAGAGCTGCTGGGAACTCGTTTGCCCAATTTTCCCTACCCTAAGCAAGCCAAGACTGCTTAATCTAATCGGGAATTTTATGCCCATCAAATGCCCTTTCATAATCTTTATTTATACATGAAGAAAACATACAGGCTAAAAACAACCAATTCCTTGCGGGCGGGTAGGTCTGCAGTGAATAGGCAGGATGTGTCTTCAGAATTTGGGGACCTTTCCATTTCAGCTTTCAGTGACTTTGAGCTCAAAGTCACTCCCATATTAGAGTTACATAGGTTTTTACTCACAGACAAAAATGTGTATATCAGATGTAGTTCTGAATCTGTTCTAAAAAAATTCTATTTTTATCTTTAAAATTTCTGCCTTCAGACCCTCTCCTTGAGACTAGAGACTGCCAATATTTTGAGATATTTTATCATTTAAAAATCGAGCAAGATAGAAATAATACAAAAGAATGATCTGAGCCCCAAAGGATGGAAAGTGTGCCTAAGACTCTAAGGCTGAGATGAGACAAATGGAATAAAAAGGCAGTGCTCTAAAGGCCAGCCTTTATTTTGCTTATGAGTATTTAACGTAGCTGATGGTTTTGATCATCTTTAGATCAGTTGGAGCAGTTACCATTAATAATAAATCAATATTGCACCATAAAGGAGATGAATACCCATATTTGTACCAAGACGCCCGTCTTCCTGCCACAGTTCTTTCCAGGGAAAAATTAAAAGAATAACTTGAGCAAGAAATTAGCATTTGTAATCAAAAAGTGACTTGCATCTGCACTCTTGTCTCCTGGAAGAAAAGTTGAAGCCCTGGGCCTGAGTGGACCTGTGGGCTCTTAGGGTCACCCCGGATTAGGGTCCCGAGCCACCTCTGGGCTGTGTCACTCTTTGGGGACAGAGCGGATGGAGTCAATGAAAAGCTGTCTTCCCAGGGCTCTGCTCCGGGTTGCACTGTGCACCTCCAAGCCAAGGTGAAAGGAAATCTAGTGGGCAAATGAGGAGTCTACCACCAATGCAATAAGGGGTCTATCGAGACGTGCAACAAGGGCCGGCGGCCGGAGAGCCTCTTTCTTCACAGACACAAAAGACTCCTACTTCGCGCATTCCCCTTCCACTTCAGAGTCTGAGACCTTGGCGCCTCAGGATCCAAGGCCACTCTCCGCAAGCCCCACACACTCTGAAAGATGGGAGTGGGGAGAGATCTTCAGCCCCCAGAGGTCCTGGTCTGATTCCCGGCCCTTGTCAGGCCCATCTTGGGCGCAGGGAGGAAAGGAACTGCAGACCGCTGAGAAGCGGTGTTTCGCAGGCGGCTGCCAGCCAAGTACAAGGGGCCCCCGCACAGCCAGATGTGCAGCCGCTGGGGCCGCCTTGGGAGGAACACAATGACATTTAGGGAGGGCAGTTCTCACTCCACGTAGACCGAGGACCCCGTTCAGCCTCGGGAAAGGTTGCCTCACTATGGCCAAGCTGGACCGGCGGTCAGACTAGTGGAGCCAAGGTTGCCCGCGGGGAACACCCACACCACTCGTTGGAGCCTCGCCGGGGGGCTCACTGGCGCCCCAGCCACCCCACCAAAGCTGAGGCCAGCTCCGGGAGAAGGGCGAGCGGCAGGCCCTAGGGCCTTTGGTCCAGGGCTTGGAGGGTCAACAAGGCTGGCGCTAATTCTGGGGGTTGCAGGCTCTTCACAATGAACTTCGGAGAGGGAAAGGGGGCAGTCATCCTCCCTTAGAGAGGCCAATGTCCGGCAGCCCTGTCTCCTCTCTTGTGAACTCCGGACGGGGACACAGGCCCTCTCCAAGGTCAGGGGCTTTGCTGGAGGAGGGAGGGCAGACAACGAATGCACTGCTTTTGAGAGTCAAAATTCAACTCTGCTCAAGACCGGCGTGCAGTTTGAAAGGGTGGCGTGTTCTGTCAAACGCAAAGCCCGTTTGCTTCAAATACATTCCCCGTTCCACAACGCCTTGAAGTATAAACGTTTCCCCCAGTGCCTGCTGCCTCCCGTGGCCGCATCAGCCCAGCCTGGCCTGGGCACAACAACTCACAGTCCTGCCGGCGCCACCCGGTCGCCACTGGTAGCCGCGCACGCCAGGCACGGCCCCGGGCTCCCTAAACCAGAACGATTCTCCCAGTCCCCCATTCGTCTTATTTTTTTCCGAGAGACATTTGGTTAAGTTGGCCGCGCCCTGATCTGTTATAAACAAAAGCCTTTTAATCATTCCAGGCGGTCTGAGAGGGAGCAAAACCGACGAAGGTTTTTTTGTTTTTTTTTGTTTGTTTGTTTTTTGTATTTTTGTTTTTGCGGGGGGGGGGTAGGGGGATGTAAGTGGGGGGTGTCCAACCCTAGACAAGGCTCACCACACTGAAACCAAGAAAATTGATTTTCCCTAATTTAATTAACTAGCAGTGGCTATGGTGTATTTCAAAATGCATACATTTATCTTTGAAAACTCTCCTCCACACCATCAAGTTATACCAAGCTATTCTTTTGCAATAGCTTTATCTTTAAAAAGACAAAGATTAGGTTATCTGTTTCTTGAATCTAGTTGCTCCGTTTTCTGTCTCTATACAGCTTCTCACACCTCATGGCTGCTTAGAACAAATAAACTAGCAAACACCTTAGCTGCCGCCTGTTTGTTAGGGGTTGAGGTCGCCTATTAGAATCCAGTATTGGACAGATAAGGTACCGCGGCCTCTTGGTCAAACGCGGTTTCTGGAACGTGAGCGCGCCCTCGTGTGGATCTCCAGGCCCCTGCAAACGGGAAATGGTATCTCGCGTTCGGCTTGCCTTGGGTGGTGGGCACACAAGCTTGCTGTGTTTAGATGAAGTTTTTAAAAAATAGATGGAAGCAGAAAGAAACAAAAAAACAGTTTTAAGCTCATGTAACGATCATACTATTGTGGCACTGACATTTTAACCGATATCTAGAATCTCAAACAAAGGAATCCCCTTCTTAACGAAATTTTTCGATTGTAGGCTTTGTTTTCATTGCATCTTTCACCAAAGGATGCTTTTAAAAGCAATATAATTATATTTCCTTTTGTTCCTTATTATAGAAAGTGCAATAATTTATTTCACAGGGTGGCAAGTTGCTTTCAAATTTAATGAAGGTGTAGGGTGCAGAGAACTCCCTCTTTCAAATGCTTGATTTTAAAACTGCAGTTCTTCATTAAAGCAAAGGAGATCACTATTTAAGACCCCCCGCCAAAATTCTCAGCCTTTCCTAGCTGTAGTGAAAGCAGCTAGCAGGCATTTTAATCTAATCAGTATTTTTAAAAAGAAGTTGACTGCTATTGCATTACACAAACTTTGCAGGGAAATTAAGGTTATTGATCCTGAAATTAGGAATTTTCTTAGATTTATGGTGAGCTCCTGGTATGATTTTGTGTGGTCATAAGTGTGTGTGTGGCTCTGGCTATGTGTGAGCATGTATGTGTGAGAGTGGGTGGCAGCTGAAAATCAAGAAGAACCTTAAGGCGCCTAATTATTCAGAAAGGTTAAAGGTGATGACCTTGACATTTCGGAAGTTCAAAGGCATACATTTATGCACTTATTTTTTCCTTCCCAAATAAGGCTTAGCAATTTTTAAAATTGCATTTTGAAATGCATGACTCCTTGGAAGATGCATGGGATACCGTGCATTTACAGATTTATATTTTGTCTTTGGGCTTAGGAGAGGTTAAGAGTCATAAGATTCACTTCACTTTTTTCAGAGAGAGAGAAGCTTTTCTCACTCCTCCAGTTTATTGCACATTGCGGAAATCTCTTTTGGGTCCACCAGAAGGTGTATAATATAACCCAATTAAGCTGTTTAGAACTTTGGCTTTTATGGTGTTGTCTAGACAGTTCAAGGTTTTGTAAACAGCCTGCCTGGCCCTGCAACATAAAGTGCAGTACAGCCCTCACCACATTCTTTAACTTGAAGCGATAAATGCCACGAGAGGGTCTGCAGCTCCTGGCCCTATTTCAGTGGGGGCGGGGAGGGTTTACCTTCCCTGCTTCAGATCCACTGATGATACCAGCAAGCCCTCTTCACCTACTGATGACTTCCTTTTCGAAAACTTCTCCCTTCAATGAAAGGTTCTAATTTTGGTTTCTTCTTTTAAGGGACTGTGGCTCCTTGTTAGCTTGTAAGAGATCATTTGGATTTTCTAACCAGTTTTTAAAAATGGTTGTTGTCTTTTCAGAAATCCCAAGTACATTAGACTAGGGGTAGGGGTGGGAGTTTGCTTCTTAGGTTTCTGCTGCCCCAGCCTTACTGTCTGGAGAAGGCAGCGCCAGCATTTCTTGGTCACATCGTCAATTCAGAAATTCATCACTAACATGATTTTTAAAACCAGTAACCTAGAGGTGGTGGGAGGGAATGACTACTATTTTAGTGGGACTAAAAAGTATTTCATTTGATTTTCAGTTGCATGGGTTCTGGCCACTAAAATATCCTAATGAGGCACTAAACCTCGAAGAGGAGAATTCATACAGTGTATTGAAGCTGTAACCTCCATTTTACTAGAAACCATTTATTCGCACCAAAAAAAAAAAAAAAAAGACAGTGACTCATGCCTTGATATGACAGACTAAAGGTACATTTCCCAAAGTTTAAATAATCTGCATTCACCGAAGAGGAAGGAAGGGATCTCTTAAAACTCAGAGCAAAACACCAGCGCCTTCTAGCACACCCAACCCGGCCTAACTTCCTACAGACCCCGCCGCGTCCCCACGAGGACTCGGAGAGGGGGAGGGGGAACGACAGCACATTGGCGGTAAAATTGTAAAGGGACGTTTGCATTTACCATTTTCCCCTTATTAGGATCCGCTCGGCCAAGTTCCGGCCTCGTCCGCAGGCTGCAGTGGTCGCTGGGAGGTCCCGAGTTGACCGTGGGAAGGAATCGTGAAGTTCCACAGAGAAGAGACGTCATTAAACCCAAGGACATTGGGCCTGCGGAGGGCAGGCTGGTGGGAAGGAGGGTGGGTGAGTGGGGCTGGGGAGGGGGCGCTTCCTGGAGCTCTCAAAATAAGGGGTTTCCAGTGAAATACTGCAGACGGTCTCTGTTCAGTTTCTTTTCTTTCATCCTGCGATTCTGGAACCAGATTTTGACTTGCCGGTCAGTGAGGTTGAGCATCCGAGAGAGTTGAAGTCTTTTCTCTTTGTTTATGTACACGTTAAAGAAAAACTCGCGTTCCAGTTCGCGGATCTGGTACTTGGTATAGGGACAGCGCTTTTTCCGGGACCGCTGGGGGGCCACTGCAAGGCAAAGAGACCAAGGGGTGAAAGAGGCCGCTGCCTGCCAGCCCCCATCCGCCCGCCCGGGCCACTGAGCGAGGGCCAGACCCTGGCCCCGTTGGGGACGTTCTCTGCCGCGGCTGAAAGGCCCTGCCTGCGTCGTGGGGGATGATATATGGGCGGGCACAGGAGAGAGTGCGGGCGTGGACATGTGTTCACGCCCGGACACACACACACACACACACACACAGCCTGGCACGGAGGTGGGGAAGGAGAGGGCCAGGCAGGCTCTAAAGTGGAACCTGAGGGAAGAGAGACAAGAGCGGGCCCGCCGGGGCATCTGCTTGACTCCAGCGGCGCGCGTCAGCTAGCGGCTTGGATAAAGTCCAGTGCAAGGATCAAACTCCCCCCCCCCTTCCCACCCCCCGCCTCTCTCCCTTAAAAGCAGGAGGCTCGGGTGTACGCACTCACACTGGCTTGAAATCTCCCTCCCTCCCTCCATGGTCTCTAGCACCCCCTTGCCCAAAACTGGGAAAAGGCTCTCTACAGCGATTAATGTCCTCCTCCAAGTCTACCTTAAGCCCACCTAAATTGGTTTCCTACCATAAACACGCTTTACAACGGCCCGGGAAATCTTATAGGATGTATAAACCTCTTCGAATGCTTATAAAGTAGCACATAAAACGGCGCAAGCAGAGGGAGGCCCCCGCCGCCCCCCCGCCCCCGCGGCCCCCGGGCCCACCGCTCTCCCAGCACCCGGTGCCTACCTGCGCCGCCGCTCTTCTCGGCCCCCGCCTCCGCCGGGGGACCCTCGCCGTCGCCACCGCTGCCTTCCGCTGCCCCCTTGGGCTCTGAGCCAGTGGTCGCCTTGGCGCAGGGACTGCCCACGCTGCCACCAGCCCCGGTCTTGGGGTCGCCCTTGTCCGCTGCACCCTCGTGCTGTGGCGGCGCGGGAGGCGGCGGGGGCTGCGGCCCGGCGAACGGGGGCCCGGGCGCCGCCTCGTAGAACTGGTCGAAGCCCTGTGGCAGGATGCCATTGCGGCCCACAGCGCTGTAGAAGTTGGAGGCGGCGCCCGCGGGGCCGTGCGGCGGCCCCGGCGCAGCGCACACCGGCTCAGGCGCCTTGAAGAGCACGTCCGGCCGGCGGCCCGCGGGCGGGAGCAGCTCGCGCTGCATGGCCGCCTCCTCGCCTGCCGCGGGCCGCGCGGGCTGCCGCCGCGGCTGCCGCGTTAGTAGGGGCGTAGCCCCGCGCGCGCCGCCGCCGCGGGGCCGCCCGCTGCTGCGCCCCCGCGCTGCCGCCGCCCCGCCGCCGCGGTACCGGCACTTTGGCGCGCTCCAGGCCGTAGTGCGGGAAGGCCACTTCGCGCACGGGCTGGACGTGCGGAGCCAGGTTGGAAGAGTAGGGGAAAGTCATCTGGCAGGACGACGGTTGGGAAAGGAACGACGGCTTGCTAGCGAAGTCAGACGGGGCCACATAGTAGGCGCAGCCCGGCAGGTACATGCTGGCTGCGCTCGGGCCGCACTCGTCAAAGTCGTTCATGGCTCAGCGGCGTGCGCGCCAGCGAGCCCCTGGCCGCTCCCCGCGCAGCCAACCTGAGCCATCGATTGCACAAGAGGCTTGGGCCAGGATCAACTAAGCAAAAATCCCCACCGGGCGCTGACGTGCAATTCATCTTGATTGATTCTGGTGGTAATTATGTCACGTGACGCCATGAAGAGAAATGTCCTTATATCTATATCAACGCTCGCCAACACGCCCTGGGACGGCTCCTGGCGCCGAGAAGCTGGGGGCGGATCGGCTGCCCTCTCCCGCCAGCTCTCCCAGGGCGCTCCCTGACCAGGCTGCGCCTCAGGCCGGTCACCTGCGCGCCGCTGGCCGCTGCCACCGCTGGGCGCATCTGCCACCGCCCGAACGGGCCGCCCGCCCGCGTCCGCCCTCCCGCGCCGCTTTAAGTACGCGGACCGAGGCCGGTGGGGAGGAGGAAGGAGGGGGAAGAGGGGGAGGAAGGGGGAAGGGAGAGAAGCAGCGAGCGGGGGGAGTGGGGGAGCCCCGGCTCCAGGCTCCCTAGAAGCTAGAAACTAGGTGTGAGGGTGTGAGGTTCCGAACCCCACCCCCCTTACTGCAGCCGCTCCCTCCCCCGCGACTCTGCCACCCTCTGCAGCTCACCCGCCTGGGAGCTTGTTGCTTCTTGTTCACCAGGCGGGCATAATTTCGCCACTCTCTAGAGCGCAGGGAGCCCTGATTTACATATTTCTCTGCCCAGCGCGTTCAGCGCGGAGTGACTTGGCTCTTTCCGGTTCTGCCCCCAGGGGTGCGAGGGCTGACCTCGGAAAAACCCAGGCCACTCACCGCCTAGGCACTCACCTAGGCCGGGGCCTTCGTGCCCACCCGGCTCTCTTCCCTCTTCTCTGGTTTCCCTCTCTGTTGTCTCTCTTTCTCCTTGCTTGGTCTCTCTTCAGTCTTCTCCCTTCTCTCTCATGTCTTCACTTCTCTCCTTCCCCTTCTTTTCCGCTTTCCTTCTTCCTTCCTCTTGCTTTCCCGTCTCCTTTTTCCTGTCTCTCTCTGCCCTCTCATCCTCTCCCCTCCTTTCCCCTAAGCTGTGTGTCACTGTCTCTGTCCCTCTCCCTGTTGCCTCTCTGCCTTCCCCTTTAGCACTAAGGCCAGGAGCGAGCTCAGCCCGTGGCCCCTGGCCTCCCTAGAATCTGGGGAGTCTGGTGAACAAAAGGATCTGGAGTCCTACTCTCAGAGTGCCTGGCTTCCCGCTGGCTCCCCACAAGAGACAACCCCCTCACACTCGCACCTTCGTCCTCCTCACCCCTCTGCTTTCAGGCCTGGCCTGGGTGTCCGCCTTACACCCAGACCCTTCACTGCTTCGGAGCCCCGCCAAGGCCTGCGCATCCACGTTGCGTTTCCCCGAGGCTCTTCTGGCACCCTTGGGCTGGCATGGTCACTTCAGTCCCTCCCCCAAAATAGGTTGTCTCTCTGAGGGCTCTCAGCGGCGCCTGACTTCCTACTGAAGCCCCTCTGTGTCACCTGACACTGAGGCAGACTCTTCGCGGGGCACCCCATCCACTCCCCTGAGGCCTCACTCTCCTCCCAGCCTGCCGCGACCCTCTCCTAGCCCATGGGTCCAGGCGAGGCCTGGGCTCCCACCTCCGAGAGAGAAGACGCTTTTCAAAGGTAAACCGTCCCTTCCCAAACCCAAATCCCAGAACCGAGGGCATGAGGCTGCCCCTTTCCCCAAGATTCCTCCGCCCAGGCAATCCCAGTGCTGGGGCCTGGGCCTCAGTCCTATACCCAGGGCAGGCGGCGCTGGCTGTGATGCTGGTTCCCTCCCTGGCCCGGGCTGCTGCAGTGCCGGTGCTGTGCGCTCTGCCCACCGTGCGGACAGACAGAGAAAAGGCGGGTGGTCTGAGCTAATATCTATTTTCTGGCTGATGTCCCCCCCTTTCTCTTTTTCTCCTCCCTCCCTTTCTCCCTTCCTCTCTCCTTCCTCCGCCCCTTCCCATGTCTGCTTCCCTCCCCCAACACTGCGCAAATAGGTCTGTGGCGACTGGAGGGCACCGAGCCTCCCCCAACTAGAACTGCCCATCTTGTGTGCTCCTTCCCCACAACTGGCACCCCTGCCCAGATTCCAGCTGATATTCTTCTCAACCCAGACCCCCAGCACACGTATCTGCTTCCCCATCTCCATCCCAGGCCCAAGCCTCTCCCTTTAGGACTCGTGGTCGACGCCCCTGGATCTCTCTCCTAAAATGGCTCCCCGGACGCTGCACACTGGCCCTGCGGTAGCTCAGGACCCAGGGCAGCGGCGATGACTTCAATCCGGGTCTTTATGTGTCTGGGGGTTCGCAAAAATTCTCGCACCTTCTCTCTGCTGGCAGCACGGGGTGGGGCGCAGGCAGCCCGGCGCCCCCAGTGTGGAGCCTGCTGACCGCCAAAGAGGGAAATGGGGAGGACGAACCATTCAAGTTCAACGACATGGCGACGGCAGCTCCGGCGGGAGCAGCGATTTGGCGGGGGAGGGTGAGCCAACTGCAGTGGCGCGCCGGTGCACAGGGGAAGGGGGCGGCCGGTCCCTTTCGGCTCCTTAGCGCGGACCCTTGCCCCCCGACCCACTCCACAACCCAGAGCGCTTTCATTCCAGTCCCAGCCCGCTTGGCTCTTTGGCCCCAACTCCCTCCTAGTTCCTGCCCCTATTCCCCAAACCCAGGGAAAACCGCAGCCTCCGGACCCGCGCGTCCCGCTCGAGAACCTACCGTGAAGACCCCGGCTCTGTGGCCTTGTCCTTGTCTGCGCGGCCCCACCCGAAACGCAGGGAGCGCACCAGGCCTTCGGGGCGCAGCCAGCAGCTCTGCGAGGAAGAGCTTTCCGCACAGCGACGGGACGCGATGCGGTGATTTTGAGCCACCCAAGATAAGACACTAACTTGACCTTAACTTTGTCAGGGCGCCCCTGGTATCTGGAGAACGTGAACAGACACTGTCTGGCAGCTCTCGTAAAAGCTGACTGGGGAAGGGATTCTGAGTCATTTCATTTATTGCCACTACAGTTCTGCAAGGAAGCTTTTCCTCCCTGCCAAACTTTAATTATTTATGCTCTTTTAAGAAACGAAAGAAGAGAAACGCAGGGAAAACACCCAGAGCCAGTTCCTTCCCTGCAGAGTCTTCGGAATGGACTCCTTAAGTCAAGCGACGGGAGAACAAAAATATGAGGAGATCACCTTTGTCTAAGGACAGTGGGGCAGTCGCCTTGCCCTCCCCCACTATCACTGAGGGGGGAATGCAGCTGGGAGAGGCGGGTAAAGGGGCATCCCCCCCACATGAATATTTACAACGATTCCGGATTTCTCTTCCACCCGCCGGCATCCCGGAAGCCTCCCCAGCCCGCCTCCCTGGGGGAGAACCCCCAGGCCTTAAAAGCGTCCCCCGTCCCCCGCCGCCCTCTGAGTTCGCAACTGATTGAATGACAGACGAAGCTGGTTTTTTTCTCTTTTTAAAACCGTTTTCTTAGTCAAGAGGCCCGCTTGGACTGTAGCATTTCAGAGCACGCATTTGTCTTTCTGAAGGAAATGTTGAGCACTCAGATTTTAGCGTCCTTTCTCTTCAGCATTTTTTTTTTCTTACAAATTTCTTAGTGGTTCCAAATCTCTGCGGGAACCCAGGCTATGGAAGGAGACATTAGAGTCTTTGTATTTGTGTCAAATAGCAAACGGGATAGATTTGGAAAAAACTGCTGAACCAAGAGATACGCTTTTATATTTAGAATAATTTAATTTTCTGTGAGGAGTGATCTCCATGAATATCCCCTCCCCCCACTCATCCCAGGCTAAAGGAAAAGAACACGATGATTTAATGATATATTTTGGAAGGAAACGGCCTCCGTGTTGTCTGTCTTAAGGCCTGGATCTGAGTACGTATGCTTTCCTCCTCCTTTCCCCAGCCTTCGGAGGGCTCAGTGCGGCTTCTGCCTTTGTTCAGTTGTTTTTGAGCAGGCAAACCTCTGAATGCAGAGTCAGACTTGGAGATCCTGCTCTGGGTACCATAGCCTCTATGTGTCCAGCCAGGTGGGGAATCCTTTTGAGCCACAGGGCCTTAGCAGCTCTTGCTTCTTTCTCTCCTATTGAATATATATACATATATGTATATATAGTTGTGTGTGTATATACAATTAAAGAACAATTAAAAATTTAATTATAAAGAACAATAAAAAATTTGCTTCTGGGAAGGGGAGTTGAAATGTTGGATATTTAGTATTAGCGATTTAGTAGTTTTGCTAATTCTTCCTCTAGCTAGAAGCTAGTTTATACCTCCACCAGCTAGGAGCTGGTGTTTGCAAGAAGATGAGTAGCAAGCAGGCCCTGACTTTCCTGGACTGAGCTAGAGGTTCAGATGGACTAGGGAGTTTTGAGGCCCTATTTCCCAAGGGAGTCTGCTGGGCTCCTGGTAAACCTGCTGGTATCAAGGATTTAGTAGGACCTAGCCGGTTCCAGAGAAGCCGGACCAAAACTCCGTGGAGACAGACGTTTTGTTTTGAAATTTGAGGAACCTCAAATCTTTACAGACCCTGAATAACAGCAAGCTTTAAAGTTTGAGAATTTAGGCTAAGTGCAGAAGTCCCAGCTTGCAACAAGCTGAGAGTCCTCTTAATGTGTGAGACACACTCACATTTGCCATGGTCCTTCCCTTTTGGATATTCCAAACATATTTGGTTCGAGGCTTTTACACACCATTTCCTGACTGCCTCGGAAGCCATTTTCTCATTTAACGAACAGTCAACACCCGCGGTGAAACAACAGTCAGAAAAGAAAAACGAATTTGGTGGCCTGAAAAATATTAAGGGGTAATCCAAAACATTTTGAAAAATTGACTTCAGCCCCTTGACAGCTTGGCTCAGACCTGAATATTTATTTTCACTCAAAACATTTGTATATATTGTGTCTGATATATACAAGCTACTGTTTTCGACAAAATCAAAACAAAACATGCATGATAACTATTAGATAGCCTAGAAAATGAAATTAGTCTAAACATCAACTGAAGTCAGTTGGGCTAAGGCTCAGGGCTCTCTGTGAGGTGCCCACTCCAGGTTTAGGGCCAGGTCCTCCCCTGAAAAGAAATCACTGGACTTTGGGAAGGCATCCTGAATCCTTGGGTTGTTGTGCATCATGCTAGGAGGTGCGAAGGAGGAGTGCTGTATGTCAGAAGGAGAGGGAAAAGAGGCAGGCATAGTGGAATGAGCTGGCCAGAGGGAGGCTTTGTTCACTGAGATTAAGGTGGGACACTCCAATACACCCAGAACAACTCCACCTGGCATTTGGGAACCCCTGCCTCCTTGAGGCAAGCCTGGCAGGGTCCAGGGCCTTGAAGTCTCCACTGGGACAGGCCAGACATGCCTCAGAAGGGGCACAGTAGCTGGGCCTCTGGTAGAGTTGGCAGATGGTGGAGACGGTGAGAGGAACTTCTGGTTCTCTTTGCTTTGTCAAGAGCAGCTAGCTGGGTGGAGAATCTAAGAGATTTCCTTCCCCAACCCTTGACTCTTGAGAAGGATCTTTTGCTTATCCTTTTGGGAGTCCATTAAGGTAATTCAAGAAAGAAAGATGCGCCGACACCTTTACTCACCTCAACTGGAAAGCCATATTTACAGCTGGAGTGTAGCACCCCTCCTCCTCTTGTTCACTCCCTTCTCCTTCCCTTGGATATCTTTCCCTCCTCCCTGTGCAACAGAGCTTCCAAGCAGACCAGCAGCTCCTTTCCCCAGAGGTAGGCTCTGGGTATCCAGTTACAGGGTTCATGGGCCTGGCCTAGGCATGTATGAGAAGGTGGGAGTAGGGCAATATTTGCCAGTCTTGTCTGGAGATGGCACTTTGTCTGGAGCCCCAGTCTCTCTCATCCAATCTCAGGAAATGAAGGTTCCACTCTATCCTACCCAGCTGGAGGGGCCAGCCTATTTCACATTTCTCATTTCGAGATATCTCCAAGTTTACCCCAATACCCAGCCCCTCCTCTTCTCTCCCTTTTCCTCCCAAAGTCTGAAGATCTAGTGTGGCTTTTGTCCTCTCAAATCAGCCAGGACAGACAGGAGGGTGGAGGGTAGATGGTGCCCTTTCCTTTCTCCAGAGTGAAGATACTGGCCTTGCCACAAAGGGCTTCTGCTGCAGAGACCTAATTGTACCCACCGTCCTTTCCATTCCCTCAGGAGGCCTTCCACTCTGAGCCCTAACTAGGCAACTGCTATAGGCTGAAGGGGCTGGAGAGAGGGGGAAAGGTAGAACGAATTGGGTGGAAACAGAAAAATCCAGGTACCAGGGAGCAAGAATGAGCGGTGGGTGAAAATGCCCCAGCCAGGAGCAAGGAGAGGTGGCCTCAGTGCCCCCACGTGGAAGCCTTAAGGCCAGCCAGAGTTGCACTGTACTGCCGCACGTTTCTCACGGGCTTCTCAGGGACTGAGGAAAGCAAGGAGGCCCAGCTGGCCTGGTCTCTAAATCTCTTGGTGGCTTCTGGGACTAGCAGAGAAGGAACCGAAGGAAAAGCCTTAGCCTTGGCCCCAGATTCCCCTCCCCAAACAAGGCCTCTGTCCAAAAGGGCAGACCCAGCCGGGCCGTGGCCACGCGCACGGCTAGTAGAGCGCCAGCGCCTGCTCCCTCAGCACCACGCGCTTCTTCTTCATACGCCTGTTCTGGAACCAGATTTTGACCTGCTGATCGCTGAGGTTCAGCCTATTGGACAATTCCTTGCGTTTCTGCCGGTTGATGAATTCGTTGACGAGGAATTCGTTCTCCAACTCCGCAATCTGCTGCTTCGTGTAGGGTTTCCGCTTCTTGCGGGCCCTCCCCGGGGCCGCCCCCCACGGCAGGCCTGCAACACAGCCCCAACCCACGTCAGCCCAGCCCGTTCTCTGTCTACTGCCCGCCCCCAGGCGGTTCACCTCCCCTTACACTCTCCCTGGAACCCCACCTCCCGTCCCGGCCCAAATCGGCCCGGGGAGCATGGGCACCGTTTACCGTCGGGCAGTGAAGGTCGCAGGCAGGAGGCAACGCCCGCCGCCTGCACTGTCATGTTCAAGTTGAGCGAGCCCTTGGTGTCGTCCTTGAAGCCGGGGGCGCAGGGAGCCCCCTGGAGCAGGGTCGCGGAGCCCGGCGTGGCACGACCCACGCCCGCGTAGTCATACTTGGCCGCTTTGAGAGCAGCCACTGCAGGGGCCAGGCTAGACTCGGGGGCGAAGGAAGGCCGGGTACGACCGCGCTCCTCAGGCCCAGAGGCCGCTTCGGGCGCATAGAACTTAGCCTGCTCTTCGGGTCCGTCCTTGGCTGTTGTGGGCTGCAGGCCGAGAGGCCCGGAGCCAGCTAGGTAGGGCTGCGAGAAGCCGCCGAAGGCAGTGGCGCCCGCAGGCTGCGCGGGGGCGCAGGAGGCTGGCGTGGCGGCCCAGGGCAGCGCGCCGCGCGGGTAGGAGATAGGGGGAAGCGCGGCCAACTGGCCGCCATTCGGCCGCAGGTTGGAGAAGTAGAAAGAGTCTGGCGACTGCAAATTCAGAAGCGAGCCCACATAGCCCGCTCTGTAGAGACTGCGCTCACACATCTCCAACAAAGGGCTTCGGCTGCGCTCGCAACAGTATTTAGTTACAACCGGGAATAAGAGGACAGGCTCAGACGATTGGACGAAACTTTGCCTGCAGGTTCTTCAAAGCCGGTCATTTCAGCACCGCCTACATCCCCCCGACCCGTTTTCCCCCCCTTCAGAGTATTATGATAACACCCGCAATGTTCGATGGCGAAAGACTAGGCTGCCAGAAGAGCCAAATCAAGTTGAGCGAAGACTAACTCTCTGAGGGTTTCCAAGCCCGGCTTCGGCAGCTGGGGACGTCGGGCAAGAGGGTGCTTCTGCCCAAGTGTCCCTTGGGACTCTTCTTGGCTGTGATTGGCTTTGCGATCCGTTTTCCGCAGGCTTTCTGGGCCCGGCTTGCTTCTACCGGCTTTAAGTTCCAGCGGAGGCATTTTCCATTAACCGGCGCCTCTCGACTTGTCCGGAGAGGGCGCGGTCCGGCGGCACCAGGAGCTCGGTCCCTTGGCCTAAGCAATGTCACTCTTACCCCAATCACTCCCACAGTAAGGCTTTCTCCAGAGACCTCTGCCTGGAGATCTGGCAGCAAAGACCCATTCACTGCTTAAGCCCTCAGTCCCAGGCCGCAGACACAAAAAGGGCATCACAAACTACCCAAGTTTGGGATCCAGGAAGGAGGCCGCACTACTCCTGGTTTGTGTCCCCATGGCTAAGATCTCTGATCCTAGGGAAGTTGCCATACAGGTCCATGGAGAATGTCCGCCAGGAAACCCATCAGTTTGATCCACCAATCGTGGCCAATGGCAACATTCCTTTTATCGTCAGGAGTCCTCTCCGGGACTACACACTGCAAACCAGAACTCCGTGGTGTCCCCATCCACCAAGTGGAGGGCAAAGCAGGACGAACTCCCCTGACTGGGTGTGGAAAGGCAGAAGAGCCAGAGTCACCTGGCCGGGGAAAAGCGGGCGTTCGGAGGCAGCTGGCTAGCAGAGTTCCTCGCCTCAGCGCCCCCAGGGGTGCCGGGGATAGGGAGTTCACAGGTCTGACAAACATCGAAGTGGGAAGGGCAGCAGTTCTTAGCTAGGAGCGGTGTGCTCAGACCCCGCCACTGGCCCTCTTGCCTAGTCCGGTCAGCGGACTAGGGGTCCTCCCCCTCCTGCCTCCGATCCCAAGACCCTTGGAGACCCCGTGACCGGCGCCAGTCTCAGCCTGCAGCAGGACCCTGGAGCCAAGCTGGAATTGGTTAGATCGCGGGCTCCCGCACTGAGACCACACAGGCGCCGCCGGAGGGCAAGACTGACCACCGCGCTGCGACTTTATTGTGTGAGTTATGGCGACCAATTGGGTGGCTCTGGGGAACGCAATCGGCCTCTTCCTCCTGCTCTGGTGGGGGGGGGGGGGGGGAGAGGGAGTGAGGACGTGGGGGTGGGGACGTCTGAGGCTCCTTTGGCTCTGCCAGAGGGTTTCCTTAGGAGCTCAGGCACACAGACTCACTCTCTCGCGTCCTCTCTTGGGAGGTGGGGGCAAGCACAACCTGCAACCCCAGTTCCTAGACATTTAAGGGAACACAAACCTCAGATCCCTAAGAGCTCTTATTTTGGGGAACCCATCCTATTTTCGAGGAGCTGCAGCTTCGTTACTCCCGAAAGCTCCAGCTCCAGGGGTCCCTGCAGTCTCTGCTCCTCACGTTTCAGTGCAAGACGATTCCTCGTTATTTCCAAGCCGAGGGGTGTCTCCTTCGGACCTTTAGGCAACCCTACAACAGCTGTTTGTGCCTCAGGACTAAAGGCATAAAAGAACTAAGTGAAAAACTGGAAAGACAGGAACAACAAAGGTTCCCTCCATTGCTCCTTGCCCAGTCTTCCCACTTCATTCCCCGGGTTTATGACTTTCGAGGTCTGGCAGACAAAGTCTTATGCGAGCTGTGGACCCGGATCGAGGGAGGGTCGGGGTGGAAAGTAGTGGCGGGAGGCGGCTTGGCTGGTGATTTAGAGAATGGGAAAGGATTTGGCTGAGGAGCTAATAGCGAGCTCTGCCAATGCCGCCCAACGCCCAGGAGATGGCGAGCGCGCTCCATGCCTATCGAGGCGCAGCCGCACGGTCAAGATCAACAGTGAAGGGCGGTGCGGCCGCCCTGGGGTCGCCAGCCCACGCGGTCACAGAGCGCTTTCAGACGCAGCCGAGCGCCTCCGAAAGTCGGAGATCTTGGCGACAAGGCCGCCCCTGACACTGGCTCCCTGACAGCGGAGCCAGAGGGACCTAGGGGGTTGCCAGAGGCGGGGAAGCATTGCAGTCGCCCTTTGTCTGGCCGTGGGTCCCGGCTCCAGTGCTTCCTTCGCCTCTTGAATCACGCTACACGGGGGCCTTGTTCCCCCACCCGCGGCTCTAAAAACCTGCCCAGTTTCTGAGGCACCCTCCTGCCGCCTGTCTCCAACAGAAGGAAAGGCCTCTCTCCAAGCCCTCTTAGCCTCCCGGGCTCCCCGAGGGCCTCGCTCCCAGTGCCTGGGTCACTTTCCAGTTCCTTCGCTCCCTCCGCAATTTGGAATATAAAGGGAACGCATATAAATAACAAAGCCTCCTTCTGTTATTGATTTAGCTCTGAATCCAAATTCCTCCAGAGAGCGTTTGAGTACAGTTTTAATCTTCAGCAAACCTACTATTTCTCCAAGGCGGGGGGAGTGGGGGTACTGACATGCAAACTAGAGATGAAAGGAAAACCTCGAGGCAATCTCCCCTACCCACGATGGGAAACCCGAGAAATAGACCTGGAAATGGAGTGACGCTCTGGAGTGTGGGACTCACAAAAAATGGAGGGGAAGGTTGGCGATGAGGAGAAAGGAAAAACGTGCCCGTTTCCCATGAAAACATATCTTTTGAGAAAAACCACAAAAACGCTAACGACCCTTGCCGAAGTGTAAGGTGGGGGATGGCATGGCCCCTTGTACATGGGTTATTTCTTCTGCAGAGATTGAATCGCCATCAAATCTCTCTCTCTGTCTCTCCGTCTCTGTCCCTCCCCCTCAAAAACGAAGTTAGCTGTCCACTGTCGGCAGTAAGATATGAAAGAAATCAAGCTGGGACAGAGAAAACGAAAGTAGCTCCAAGTCTTAGGTCTCTGCGTTTTCTCTCTCAAAGTCATGAGGGAGCCCTCCCACCAGGAGAGTTTTCACACTCAGTGAGGTTTTAAATATCAGTATGTAACTAACTTACACACGAAAACGTTAGCAACAACTGAGTTGATTGTGTGGGGAGCTAACCTTGAGGAGTCATCCAGTTCCTCAGCGGCCATTTCCCTGAGTGGCAAAAAGACTTCAAACAGAAAATTCTAGTGCCTAAAAATTGCGTCTGAAAGTTTAGATTTTATAATTGTTTTCAGTTGTCAACTGCTCTGTGCAGACTGCCCGGAGAAGGTGATATGGGATAAGCTTGAAATGTTTCTTTTTCGATTGCCAAATATGGATATGTCTTTCTAATTTCAAGACCTTCCTAGTCCAGATATTTATAATGGTCTTTCTAGGTTAAAAATTTTCAAGTGAGTAAATTTTTCTATGCACAGGCATACAAATACATATGGATTAAAAAAAATAGAACTATATAAATAAATTGACAATAGTGAAAGAAAAGTAAAATTTTATTGTTTTTTGAGCTGGCCTGGTATAAAATATCATTTTAAACACTGTAAATTATATCCTCATTTTAAAACATCACTACTTACGTTAAAGTCATGGGCAAAAGGGAGGGAAGGGGGCAAAAGTGGAGAGCATGAAGGTTCCAGAAACCAGAATTAGTGTTGAGTTTCCTTCATCCACAGAGAACATAACTGTGTTGAAGATATCAAGATTTTGTAATAAATAAGAATCATTTCAAGAGGAAACACAAACTTGAAAAAATAAAACAAATGTATAAGGACTCAGAAGAAACGAGAGAGTTCTGTTTATTGGCATCTCCCTAGGAGTAAAAAGTGATTTTTAAATGCCTGAAGCACTGCCTATGTATCCCAGCTCACAGACATTACATCTACAAAAATAATCTCTCAATTGTATAAATATGCAGCACTTTAAAAGTAATTATTTATCATCACTTTCAGAAACATCATTATTTTTCTTCTTGGACCTTGGAACTTCACATTTTTCATATTTGTTGGACGCTTTACAGCTCCATGAGAGGCCCAATGCATTTATTCAGACAGTCAGGTTCTTCACTGGGTTCTGTATGTAAGTTCCCACCCATGGCCACATTCATTCAGCCTCTCTTTGAGGATTGAGGAGATAGCCACAATCCCAGACCCATAGATTCAAGGCCAAGAGAAGGAGGTGCATTTATGCCATCCGTGGGTCACTCTACTGATTGCAGCCATTTAAATATATGCATTGAGAGCTCAAGAAATGAAGGCATCCACGATCCATGAGGACACATGAGTTTCAAATTAAAATGAAAACACAAACCTACAAAATGTTAAAAATATACAATTAAAACAGCAAGCAAAACACCCAAAGTTGGAAAGATCGTCTTCATTTCAATATTGATACAAACCCTATTTGATAAGGTGGCCACATTTAAAGCCATCACAGTACCTTCAGCCTCCTGTTTTTAGACTTTCCTGGTGACCCCAGAGCACTGCCTGCCTTTCCACTTGCCTCAGGGCAACTGCTGAGAGCTAATGATTCAATTAACTAATTACAGGATATGAATGACTGAAAACCATTCTGTCCTAATGGATTATGAAGATAATCAGTGCTGGGAACGAACAAATCAAGTAATTTTAAAAAACCCGAAACCTTAAATCAGAATGGCGCTTCTGAAATTCATTTTGGGGGGGATAATTAAAAAATACTTCAAGTCCCTTTATACTGGCCTAGAGGGAGAAACAGAACATTTAAAACAGATATAAAAAAATCCTAGTGAAAAACAAAACCAATAATAAACAAGTAAAAACCAGAACTACACAGTCAGGCTGGGCAGCAGAAGGTTTTAGAGCCAGATAAGGGGAAGAGAGAAAAACAATTCACAAAATTTG